ATCCAGAGCTTGTGGGCTGCCTCATGTACCTGATGACCTGCACTCGACCTGACCTTGCATACCCTCTTAGCATCCTAGCACGCTATGTCGCTCCTGGCCGTCACCGGAAGGAGCACATGGATGCTGCTAAGAGGGTGTTGCGCTACTTGTGCAGTACGTCGGGCATGGGGCTTGTGCTTGGAGGGCGAGACCGGGTTGTTCTCACAGGGCACTCAGACGCTTCTTGGGCAGACGACCAGGCTACTCAGCGGTCGTCCCAGGGTTACACCTTCAGCCTTGGCTCTGGCTCAGTTTCTTGGCGTTCTACTCGCTCTTCTTCTGTTCTCAGCTCCAGTTGTGAGGCTGAGATCTACGCCACAGCCATGGCTGCTCAGGAGCTACGCTGGCTGACCTACCTGCTGACCGACCTCGGAGAGCGGCCTCGTTCTCCTCCAGTGCTGTACGTCGACAACAAGGCTGCCATTGCCTTGTGTGAGGAGCACAGACTGGAGCACAGAACGAAGCACATCGCTCTGCGGTACTTCCTTGCTCGAGAGTTGCAGCAGCGTGGTCAGCTTTGTCTGCGTTACGTGGCCACGGAGGCCAACACTGCTGATGTGTTCACCAAGGCGCTTCAGCCTTGTGACCATCAGCGCTTTTGCACTCTGTTAGGCCTTGTACCTACTGGGCCTCACTTGCTTACCTCTTGACCTTACTTGTACTGTGATCACTGTATATATATCCCTACTTGTTTACTTTTGCTAGGTTGTGATCACTGTATCTCTTGCTTTGTTATAAACCTGCATGTGAACTGGTCTTGTGACCGCTTGCTTGTGCTCGGAATTTGTGTGGAATCCTTGAGATCCACCCTGAGCTTGCTTTGCTTTGCTTTGACTGGTCTTGTGACCCTGTGGTTGTCTCCCACTGCGCCTATGGGGGTGTGTCAAACATTGCATGTTTATATTGTCTAGGCTGTAGTGGGTTACACCTTAGGGGGTACACAAAGTTAGGGTTTCCTACTTGTACCAAACTCTGTGCTAGTTCATTTCATTCCTGCTCAGTTATTCTGACAATTTTTTAACAAATTCTAATGCTAAATCATTTGTACTGTTGGCGCAGGTGACGGACGCTTTGCGGGTCAAATCAGCAAACCCGAGTGTGACGTGCATTAGTTGGAAAGGTTAATCCGAAACACGAGAAATCTGCCAGAGTGTTAGAAAAGTTACCCCTACCGCTATTAAGGATATACGTTACGGTATATGTGTAATCAATGGCACATACTTCACGCCATTGTATTCCATCTATTTCAGAATACATGTATGGTAAAACATGAATTTTCGTAGGGTTAAAATTTACAGAAACTCGGTCTGATTTCTAATTCACCCTCTCCTAATTTGTGCAGACCCAAGAAGGGTTTGCTGATTTGCGATTCGCATCGTCCGTCACCTGCGTGCACAATAGATCAGATGTAGCATTAGGATTCGTTCAGAAAAAGTTGGTGCGAAGCAGAAATTTGCATAGAAATTGTTCTTAAATGCAATTATTGCACTGAGTGACGTAAGAAAATTTATCATTTAGAGCCAACCAATCCAAATCCGATTTGCATAGCCCGAAATTGCATCTATTTCAGACTTTTTGTGCAAATTGGAATCGAATCTTCAAAAGTGTTTTAATTACGGGAGAAAAATTTTAACCTGAGAAAAGTGTAAGCACATGACCAATAACCTGGTATGCACCTGCATAGTGTTCCTAGGCTAAGTTGCATGTATATGAAAATGGCCGTACAGTTTATGTTTCGGATGCCGTTCACAGCAAGATCCCCCAAAGCGAACCGCGCTCAACAACAGTGCTCATATATTTGTGAAGCACGTGTTTGGGGTTGCTTCACGAAAGCTTGTCACGAATGATCTTCCGTCATCACCCGGATATAAGACAGTGTTGAATAGAAGACAGGGGGTGTCTATTATTCGAGTGTCTCTTATAAACGGGGTAGCCTCATTATAAGACACCTAATTGTGTGTACGAGTTATGTCAGAATCTCAGCCACTAACCACTGGGATAAAAGGGCTTGTTTGTGTAGCGGGTGAGTGCGCCCATAACCCCCCAGGCCAACGTGCATGTAACCCTTCCCTAGGATCAATCGGGGATCTCCAGTGGACCTCTGACACCCCCCCGCACTGGGATGCCCGAGGTGCACACACCGGGATTCGAACCCGAGACCTTCGCTCTGATACCATGTCAGAATCCCAGCCACTAACCACTGGGATAAAAGGGCTTGTTTGTGTAGCGGGTGAGTGCACCCATAACCCCCCAGGCCGACGTGCCTGTAACCCTTCCCTATGATCAATCGGGGATCACCAGTGGACCTCTGACAAGTTAAGCCAGTGTAGAAGTTAGGGGCAATTGTATATCGAGTGGGTATCTTCTAGACAGTTCTTTGTCCATTTATAAGACTTATAAGACACCCTAAACCATCCCAAATACAAGACAACCCAAGCATTTTTGCCCGTGTACGAGATAAGACATATACCGTATTCTCCCGGACAAAACACCCCCCCATGATAGAGCACCCCCGGGTAGCTTGTGCGGGGTGGGTGCTATGGGTGACCTCGTTTTTACTATACCCCCCTTTTTGGCTGATTTTCTATAACACCCTCCTTTTCTTACGGATTCATTATTATAGCCGTTAACGAGTAGCTGCAATACGGAAGAATATCGCGAGAATTTCTCCCTCGATGAAATTTCGCGGTACTTTCACTTACAATCTGCCGAGATTTCCCCCCTCCCACTATTTTCCCCTGCCACGTGCTGGTGAATCTTCCACTGCGAGTGGCCAGGAATGTGCCACATGGCATTTTTGTGGGGTTGAGGAAGTTTGCGGCCGAAACTCACATTCGCGCCTCAGGCAGTGATGTTAAAACGACAACCAAAACACCCACATTGTCTATTTAAAAAAACACTAACACTAAAATATGTCATATGTAAAGACCCGGGTATTATGTAGCCTTTTCCTTTGAGAAGACACCCCCCTGTTTTTCCTGTATTTTTAGATCTACCCTAGGGTGTTATGTTCGGGAGAATATGGTATGTCTTATATCCGGGCGATGACGGAAGTGGACGGGGTTACATTCACCTGATTGGGTTTGATAATTCGCTCTAACGCATTTAGGTCTGTATCCACATTCGCATGGCACGTGGAGTGGGTGTGGTCAGTGGCAAAACTGCCACGCTGGACCCAAATATCTGCACTTTTGGGCCTCTTGGGGCTACTACGCTTGAGGGAACTTGCTGTGAACGCCACCATCTCACTCGTTAGTGACAATTGTTCGTGGCCGGCGATGGGCCTCGTGGTTATTCCATACCGTACCATCCCATCGGACGGCTGAGGTAACTTGGGATGGTTTGACTCCAAACACTTGGGAACATCAACAGCAATACCGTAATACCCCGGATAGAAGCGCATGCCTATGATAAGCGCCGGCGCTTATAAAAGGATGAGGGCGCTTATATCCGGTCCTCGATTATAAGCGCACCCCTGAAGGCTTACGGATTATAAGCGCCACCTTTTGTAATGTTTTCTTATATTTTTAGTATACACTCTGTAACGAAACACAACTTTGCATTCCCACATTCCGAATTTCGAATCCCTTCACCCTCGCGCGACTCAATGCCTTCGCGTCCAGTCAGAATGAGCTGTCATGGGGTCAATCTGACTCATTCTGACTGTGTGTGTTGGCATGGAATCAGCCACTGCCAATTCACGCGAAATTCACATTCATTGCCCTCTACAATATCGATTCGATTCAAATCGCAAAGACGACATGAACACTTTGGTGAAAAAAAAAACTAGATTTCATATATGTCATTATATAAGCCCCGGCGCTTATAAAAATCCTCAATTATAAGCCCACCCCCTAAAAAACAGTGTTTTTTTATAACCCCAGGGGCGCTTCTATCCGGGGTATGACGGTACAACCTATCATTGAAGCAACCAACGATGGTCCGAGGACAGAGTCCGAAACAAGAGACCGAGTCCGAAGGCTGTGTCCGCGTTATACCGCACAAAACCGTCACCCATTTGTCCCGCTGTGCATTTATATACTTTGTATCCCTTTATAGGTGTTAGTCGTGGTTCATGACGCTCATTCAAGCAAACGCCTTTGGTTTGCGCACCATCGTCGTCAACCGGAGGACTTACGTTCAGTACCAACTTCATTTCAGTAACTTCATAGGGTAGCAAGAAGTGTACAAGGTTAGTGTTATCAATGGCATGCGAATCATACAGCATGCATGGGCTTCAGAACCTGTGAACAACCCTGTTTTTCTGTCATCATACAGCCTACGCATGGTCATGTGTGCCAAGAAACTTGATCCTCGGAGGCTGCCCATCAACAATATCAACGATTCTCGTCGCCCTACAGTCTGAATCCAAATGTTGACGGCAGCGGTAGTACTTCCTCAAAAAGGGAGCTTCACCTCTTCGAGCGATGATCTTGTTTCCATTGTTGTGCCACCTGTAGTTCTCACCACTCAAACTCGTGCTTGCCGCTACAGACGCATGCGAAGCGGAGGCATCTGAACCGGACGCAGCAGATTCAGCAGCGGTAAGAGTGGAATGTATTGATTTGGAAGGAGTGGGTGAAGTGGTGGTGGGAGTGCTTGGGGTGGTAGGAGTTTGAGTGAAGGCAGCTGCTCTGATAAGTTTCGCCCTCTTGTTGCCCTTCTCCCTTATCTCACGTATTCTCCTTTTCCTAGGCTCTACTAAGTTGTCCCCCACTTTGGAAGCTTCCAGCTCGGAAGCTTCCTCCGGCTGCTCTGCTGCTGAAGCTGGCTGCCCTGCAGTGGGTGAAGCGCCTCTGCCCAATCCCAATGCTTGCAGTTGAAAGGGGACGGCAATGCTAGCAGCAAACAAAGGGTTGCTCAATAAGGCGTACGGGGTGTATGGCAGTTGGGTCAGGTGGCTGTAGCTCGGATCCCAAGCAGGCTCCAAAGGAAAAACAGAAGGGTGAAACGGCTGACAGATGCTACTTCGATCCCCAAGCGCGGCACTCCCCTCGCCCCTTAGCCTTGCCAATGATAAGCGTCGTTGGGCAGCCAACCGTGCTCCTTCCTCCGCAGTGAGAACCCGGATTCTCTTCACGGGAACTGCCAGGTCAGGAAGAGCAGGAGGCTCGGGTTCGTTAAGAGCTGCCTCACTTAACGCCTCTGGTTTTTCCGAGAGGTACGGCGAAGCACGGTCGTCTCCCAAGCTGCTGCTAGCCACCACCACTATGCCGCTGCTGCCGTCTCCTGTGCCACTGCCGCTGTCTCCCGTGCCGCTGCCGCCGTCTCCTGTGCCACTGCCGCTGTCTCCCGTGCCGCTGCCGCCGTCTCCTGTGCCGCTGGTAACCACCACTGTGCTGCTGCCGCGTTCACATGCCACAGTGTTGCTGCCGCCCTCGTCCCCAGCAGCAGTGTTGCTGCCGCCCTCACAAGGAGCAGTGATGCTGCTGCTTAATCCGCCCTTCTCATTCCCCATGTCCCCGTGCGACAGGATGCTACCCAGAGCAGAGCTTCTCTTCGCGAGCTTCGCCTGTGTTTTGACGCGCTTCATCTGCTGCAACAGTCCTGCAAAGGTCAGCCCCGTACCCCCATCACAAGCGCCAGCAGTATCACCACCGGCGACAGCGGCGCCAACACCAGCAGTACCACCGCTGGGGATGGCAGCGCCAACACCGGCACCCCCGCTCACGTGCTGCTGCTCTGCCGTGGCGTCACCGTTTGCACCAGCATCGGCGTTAGAAATAGCATCAGCGCCAGCATCGGCGGTAGCAGCAGCGGCGGCATCACCGACGGCAGCGCGAGCGCCAGCAGCGTGACTCACGTGCTGCTGCGCTGCCATGTCGTTACCCTCTGCATCAACAAAGGCATTAGAGGTAGCATCAGCTTCACCCTCGGCAGCATCAGCGCTAGCAACATCACCCACGGCAGCACGAGCCGCGCCAGCAGCCTGACTTACGTGCTGCTGCGCTTCCGTCGCGTCACTTGCCGATTCCGATTCGACTCTAGGAATCGCCGTCCGCTGAGCAGGATCGCCGCCTAGTACTGTCGGCGTTTTTGATTCGCCGCGGCCTATTGATAGCATGAGATCTAAATCAAGCATCCCCTGCAACAAAGGCCGAGTCATCATTGCCATATTCAGCTTCCGTCGACCACCAGCGGGACTCGCGCGCAGAGCTTTAAAACCAAAGAGTAAGAAATTCTCGCGACTGTAACCAGATCTGGAATGCAACGTATGAACTCGTTCGCATACAGTTTCGGAGGGGCCTCAAAAGAAGCGCTGGTACTCGCGTACTTTCGTCCGCCGATAACAAGTAACACGCAGGTTGCTTTTTGAGGACGTCAAGCTGATAAGAAACTTCTAGTTAACGCGCGCCGCATCGCTTCCAGCCCGCGAAATAGTCCGTTCACTCGCGGCGCGGAACACCCATATCACTTCAACAGTAACATTACGTCTGTCCGAAAGACCCTACTGAAGCAATCGGGGATGGTCCGACTGGGCTGTGAGGGAATGCGGGAGAGGATGGACCGTCGGATCCGTCTGGGCTGTGAGGGAACGCAGGAGAGGATGGACCGTCCGATCCGACTGGGCTGAGGTAACCCACGCACAAGCCAACCAACCAAGCCGAAGGTTGGTCCGACTCCGAAACATTTGCGGGGGCAGTCTGAAAGAAGTGGAGCGCGCTCGGCTGGGTCTAACCTTGGGGAAGCTACCACGTTTTACCGCACAAAACCGTCATTAATCTGTTCCCTTGCAACACGCGGGATAGGAATTTGGAGGTTGAAAGTTGATAGCAGTCTTAAAGAGGTGATCTGCGTTTGAAGGCGGTGAATTTAACCAAACAGCATCCTCTTCAACATACATGAACAAACTCTAACACACCCCATATATCAAAACATTCACAAACGATTAGGCGTCATTTCTCTAAAATGGCACAACAAATACGGCTTTCTAAAGGCACTCGGTAAAAATATAATACGAAGTAAAAATGCCTAGTTCGAACCTCCTGAGGTGTTTAGCAGGCTAGCAAAAATCAAGTAACAAGAAATGGTTACACACTTCGCATTCCATTTCGTTTGGTCGTGCGGGTCACCGGAAGGTGCAGAGCCCGTCAATAACCGCGGAACCACGCCGAGCACGTAAAACGGATTTCCGATCGGTGAACAATGGGTTTGCCTGGTGAATTTAACGGTGGAGCAGCTTCGTCGCACCACCAAACCCGATGTTACCTGCCATGTATGTGTCATGCGCGAAAGTCGCTTCTCGCCTGCTGCGCACGAAACAATTCTTCAGGATTCAACACGTTTGAAAATCCAGATTCGTGTCGACATGGAACAGAAACACGGCTCCTGCCAAACTGAATGCGTTGAGCACCTGGCCTGTCTTACGAAGGTAAAGCATAACTAGCCTGAGAATAGGTGACATAAAGAGAGTTCTGTTCCGTCCATAAGTAACTAATGCTACGATAACTATGTTCAGCCTCGTGGGCTATTCCTACAAACGTCTCACACTTTTCTCCTTTATTCCCTGCACGTCCTGAACGTGTGTTTCTCAACGTCCTGAATTAGTCGGCATTAGCTTCTCGATGTAGACACCAAAACCACGGCTAGTAATATCAATGGGTGCACTACGATAAGGGGACTCCCCTTTGGAAGTAACGGCCAGGGGCAATAGCCCGCTTCCGCTCTCTTCCCCTGTTGCACGATTTCGGCGGAAACAAGATTTGGAGAGTCAACCTGCCCACAAGCCCACGGAGAAACCGCAGCCGGAGGTAGAGCGTCACAAGCGAGTGTGACTACGACGGCCGTGATTGTGGAAGACTGCTGCTCGACAACCGCCACCTTTTCTTGTTCCCCTCCTCGCGCCACTGCACCTTCCACAGCGGGCTTGCGTCTCCCAGGGGTTTCCGTTTCGCCTGTAGGCCCCCTTTCCCCAACTTATGTGCAGTGTGTAAGTTAATTCTTGTAAGTTAATGCGCCATGTCATCAATTTATTGCGCTCGGTATCAACCCAACACAAAATTATAAAAGCAACAAAAAGTAACTGTATACTGTGAACCTTTTTCAGTGGCACAGAATCAAACAGTCAGTATTGGGCCTTACAAACCCTGTGTACGACTCTGTTTTTCTCTCCTCGTGGCAGCACTATCGACAGTTATAATCAGTGGTTATGAGCTCCCTCAAACGTAGGTCTCTGCCCAGGAACATCATCAACGTATTTCCTCGCCCGACAGCCAGTCGAATATTGACTGCAACGGTAGTGCTTTCTCTTGAAGGGAGGTCTCCCTCTCGGACGAATCGTCTTGTTTCCGTTGTTGTGCCACGTGTAATTTGCAGCTGCAGACGTATCAGCAATGATAGTAGCGGAAGGTGCTGATAAGGGAGCGTTCGGTTGCACCGTTGCTAACGCCGGCTGTCCTGCAGCGGGTGAAGCACCTCCGATCAATCCCAATGTTTGCGGTTGAAGGGGTAAGGTGTGTGGCATTTCTGCCGGGTAATTGTGGCTTATGTTCTGACTATACTGCAGAGGCAATAGAGGGGGGCGAACCTCCCGACGGGTGCTCTGGGGGCTAGAAATTGAGCCACTCATACTTCTAGACCTGATGTTCTCCAGCTCCGAAGTTCGCTGCGTGTTGGCGGTCGACAAAGGCCTGGCGACGGCTTTGTTACCACTCGCACCCGCCTGCCTTCTGTCACGCTTCATCTGCTCTAGCACTTCTCTGAATGTCAGCCCCCTACCGCCATCACCAGCGCCATCAATATCACCGACGGCAGCGCCAACGCCAGCACCCTGGCTCCCGTGCTGCTGATCTGCCGTAGTGACGCGTATCGCATCGGCATTGGCATTATAGATCGCATCGGCGTCAGCGTCGTCAGCAGCACCATCACTACTACCACCGACGGCAGCGCCCGCTCCCGCGCCCTGGCTCACGTGCTGCTGATCTGCCGTAGTGACGCCTATCGCATCAGCATTGGCATTATAGATCGCATCGGCGTCAGCGTCGTCAGCAGCACCATCACTACTACCACCGACGGCAGCGCCCGCTCCCGCGCCCTGGCTCACGTGCTGCTGCTCTGCCGTGGCTTCACCTTCTAGATTAAAAAAGGCGTCAATCGTGGCATCGGCGTCAGCATCGCACATTGGCGTGGTGGGTCTGTAACGATGATTATCAGCTTGATCATCCCACATAGCAGTCAAATTACCAAATGGATCGCCTTGTTCGCCTTGTTCGCCTTGTTCGCCTTGGTCGCCTTGCAGTTCGCAGGACAAAATTCCTGACCGCGCCATGGCGCCGTCGCCTGGAAAATCCGAGGTCACTCCATTGGCGGCCGCTCCAGCGGCGGGTGCACCAGGTTCGGCCAAGACGCTCGCGTAAATAATGTTGGGGCTGGGTGCGCACAGGTGGGGGCTGCTATCCGGGAAATCGTAGTCGCCAGTGGAATGTGTAATCGAAGAAGATACCATTCAAGTGGGATGTGTTGAGTCGAAGTGTCAGTGAAACGCCAGCAGCAGAACGGTTTAGGGGGATGGATGGGATGCGAAGATCTGTCAGAGACGCAAGGTTGACTGGTTTGGCGTTCGATGTGTGGAATTCGCCAAAGCCTTCACATCCACGGAAGCACTGACAAATTCGTCAGTGTTAAGATTAATGGCGGGAGAGGAAACTCATTTGTCTGCAGAACTCTTCCATTAGTATACTAATGCCTGAATCACTGGGCGAAAGGGACGCTCCCACCTGTTCCTCCTCTATTGTATACAATGGGAGAGGTAGTGGGTGGAAGGAAAATGCCATGAAGGAGCCATAATGCGTGCTGTTAGGTCACTCCCCTCCAAGCGTCGCCGCCTTCTGCTTTTGCGGCCAGCGTTTCCGCTCGTGCGCTGAAGCCCCAAGTCAACCCGGAATTCCTTAGCAATAAGTGCAGTGCATCGCGCCGCATGTCCTCCAAGTGGACTTTCTTTCCCCTGGCAATTTCTGTCGTCGACGAAAGCGGACAACAAGTGCGCACTATTTGGTACAACGCTTTTACTGTAGTTCGAATCAGAAGCCTCACCAAGAACAGCTGTGAAACTTGGGCTCTCGAAGCCCCAGTTGGAGGGTGGAGCCCTGCTTCATCGCAATTGTGTAGCCACCTGAACGAGCTGTCGTTTATGTTTGTGATTTCGTCTACAGAAACAACGGTTCACGTCACAGGCTGGTGCGAATAGCAAGAAAATAACATCGTGATAAAGCAACGTGATTCGTTCAACCAACTACACCAATCAAAATGAAAGCTTTGCGTTGGCTCGGACGACGACCATGGGCTGAAGCAACCGACGATGGTCCGACTCCAAAGATCTGGGGGTCCATCTCACATGGGAGCATCTCGTCCACCCAGATTCGTGGACTGTGAGAAAGACTCGGTATTGTGTACCCCACAACGTTTACCTCACAAAACCGTCGTCATTCATCTATTCTCTCATGTGTTTACAGTTCACGCATCACTCCTAATGAAAGGGGCGAGTCGCGCGGTCCAGGGCCTTCAAATAAACAAACCGATTTAGATTGCGCACCATCGTGCTCGACCGCATTCGTTGAGCAGTGACAGTGGAAGAGGCAGTGGCAGTGGCGAAGAAAATGTCGTGACTGGAAGGTGGTGGAGAGGAGAGCTTCGGCAACATCACGGCCAGCACGTAAAACTGATTTTGGCTCGGTGGGACACGGATTTGCTCAGGGTGGATCCAACGGTGGAACACCTTCGATGCACCACCAAACCTGAACTATCCTGCCACGTATGCCTCGCTCGAATTTCGCTTGTCACCTGCTCGGCACGAAACAAATCTTCGGGATCCAACACGCTGGAGATTCAAATTCGTGCCGAGTTGACGCCACTACACATATGCCTCCTGCAAACCCGAGCCGCGCATCGAGCACCGCCCCACCGAAGCGCCCTTTTCAAAAAGCCCGCCAATTTTAAGGCTCTACTGAAGTAGGTCGAGAGTAAGTTGACACAATTAGTTCTGTCTCGTCCAAAAATATATACTACTGCGATTACTTTCATCAGACACGTTAGCTAACCATAGGAACGTCTCACATTTTTCTGCTTCCATTCCTTTCACGCGTGTTTTCTTCACGTTCTGAATTAGTCGGCATATTCTTCACGATAGTGATGCAAGGACCACCGTTAAAACCAACAGGTGCACTACAATTATGCGATCCATCATGCAGAATCCCGCTCTCGCTCTTTTCCTCTCTCCGTACGATTTGACGGAACAGCATTTGGAGTGTCAGCCGGCTAGCAAGCCCCCGGGGAAACAGCAGCCGCCGCTCGGACTGCAAGCAGCTGAGGACGACTCTTGCGAGAGTGACTATAACGGGAGTGAATACGACGACATCTGTTCCACAATCGCGACATTTTCTTGTTTTCCCCCTCTCTCCACCGTATCGTCAACAGCGGACTCGTTTTTCCCCGCGGGTTCTCTTTCGCCTCAAGTCCCCACTTCCGTGCTGTGTTGTGTGTAAGTAAAAACTGGAGTCGTTGTTCTCCATGGTGTGATCAATTTGTTACAAGCAAAGCATTACACTCGGAAGGCAACAACCCAAACACATTTTTGTACAAAGGAACAAAACATGAGAAGCAAAACATGCAAGTATTCACTGGCACGGAACGTACACTATGTAATGGGCTACTACGAACCCTGTGTACGACCCTGTTTATCTCCCCTCGCGGCAACATCATCAACGGTTATCCTCAATGGTTGTGTTCGCCACGAAGTTCAGGTCGCCTCCCGGGAACATCATCAACTCTCAATGTCGCCTTACAGCTTGAGACACTGCAGCGGTAGTATTTCCTCGAGAAGGGAGCTTCCCCTTTCGGCGTAATGACCTTGTTTCCATTGTTGTGCCACTTGTAGTTTGGCCCACTCGGGCTCGGTGCCGTGATTGCAGCTGCAGACGCATAAGCTGCGGATGCGGAAGCAGCCGACTCGGCAGCGGTAGGAGTGGCAGGTGCTGACGTGGATGGAGTTGTTGTCGTCCTTGGGGTGATTGGGGTGGTAGGACCGGGAGAGAGACTGTATGGGGTGGTTGGGTTGGTAGGAGCGGGAGAGAGACTGTATGGGGCGGTTGGGTTGGTAGGACCGTGAGAGAGACTGTATGGGGTGGTTGGGTTGGTAGGTCCGGGGAAGCTACCATCTCTTCTCATGGCCTTCGCCTTCTCATTTCCCCTCAGCCTTATCTCCTTCTTTTGTCCTAGTGAAAGCTTTCGTTTCTCCCCCACCCTGGGAGCATCTTCAGGCTGCATCGTTTCTAAAGCCGACTGTTCTGCAGGGGATGAAGCGCCTCCAGTCCATCTCAACGCTCGCGGTTGAAAGGTTGCGGTGTGTCGCGTTTCTCCCAGGAAATTGTTGCTTATGTTCTGAGCGGAATCCAGAGGGGAGAAAGGGGCGCGGAACCGATACTGCATCGGTGAGCCACTCATGCTTCCACACCCGATGTCGCGCGGCGCCGAAACTCGCTGCATGTTGGTGGTCGACACAGCCGTCGCGCCGTCGTTGTTACCACTCGTATCACTTGCACCCGCCTCCCCTCTGTGTCGGCTGATCTGCTCCGTCAGTTCTGTGATGTTCAGCCCCGTACCGCCATTACGAGCACCATTAGTACCTCCAACGGCAGCGCCAGCTACAGCACCCTGGCTTCGGTGCGGCTGCTTTGCCGTGGCGCCGCCTTTTGCATCAGCGACAGCATCAGCGTCTGAAACGGCAATGCCAGGGATCCCGTGCTGCTGCTTTGCCATGGCGTCGCCTTTTGCACTAGCATCTGCATGAAAAATAGCATCATCATTAGCAAAATCAGCATCAGCAATAGCAAAACAACCGACGGTAGCACCAACGCCAACACCCTGGCTCCCATGCTGCTGCTCAGCCGCCGCGTCACGTGCCGATGCCAATTCGACTCCCGAACGCGCAGTCTCCGTCTGCTGAGTGGAATCGCCTGCTTTCGCGGCGGGATTGTCGTTGTGGGTCCCGCATTGCGGCTGCTCTGCCGCCGCGTCACGTGCTGATGCCAATGCGACTTCCAGACGCGCAGTCCCCGTCTGCTGAGCAGAATCGTCGCCTATCACGACGGGATTCGCGGCGTGAGTCACGCCAAGAGGATCGAAAGAACCGCTAACAGGCTGAATGCCCCACGTGGTGAACACGTCAGCAGACGATGCTAGAGCGCTGTCGTTTTCTTCGTAAAAACCGTAGCGCGCTAGACGGAGTCCGTCAACTCGAATGAAAACATTGTCGCCCTCCATAGTTTCGCCCGCTAACATCATCAACTCGAGCAGTTCGTTGGCCTCTGCACTGGTGGCCGCGTCTCCCGTGGCGGCCGCGTCTCCAGCATCGACGTTCAACAGATCAGCCCACCACGCTTCCAGAGATGGACTGATGAAATTCGCGGGATCCAAGGAGCCATCTTCGTTGCTCATGAATGGGACGTGTTGGTCCGACATGCCAGGCGATTCACTTGCAACGAATCGTTCTCAAGCAATGACGCGCCAGTGAGATGGGACGCGACGAAGCAATCGCATTGCCTGGTGAGTCCGATAGGCGGGAATGACTGGCTTCGCGTCGCGGGGTTGTCTGGCTTCGCATTTGAGATGCGGAAGGCTTCACGATCCAGAGAGGTGCTGACAAATTCAGCAGGGCTGAGAGATGAGAGGGGCAGATTAGGAGGAAATCCTACACCTGATCCAGAACTGGTTCTCCGAAGAGTCTTCTGCATTTGCGGGAATGGTTTTCCTTGATGTTCCCTTTTTATAGCGGATGTCAGTGGGTCAGAACCCGTAGGGAATATGGGGAGGGGGGCGGGGGGGTGGGGGGAGAGGGGGCTGAGGAATTTGGCGAGGCGCGTAGGTAGTGCTGACATTAATGACTGTGGGTTGAGGTGGCAGCGTAAAGTACTCGGTTCACCCTCTCTCGAGCAATCACAAGTGGTCCGACCCGAAACATGCGGGGGACAGTCACGTGCTTGATCGCACGTGGCTTCGTGAATGCTTGCTAGGAGGGACTTTTGTTGCAACTAGCACGTACCGCACAGCACCGCTACTTAATCTATGTCACCATTTCACAATCGAGGCTGTCTTGACATTCCCTTTTATACCGCACGTCTTTGTTCACCTCGAAGTTTCCTTCTACTGTACCGAATGTTTGGCGGCAACAACATGCCTTGGAGGAGAAGTGATATGAATGAACATGTTGGCGGGCAGGCCAATTCTATCCATCCATGCCCTGAAGCATGGTGCGCGATGTGAGGAATGGGAAGGAGGGGACGGCGCCGTATCTCTCCCAATTGTCGCACATTCTTCCCCTCACGAACAGGGCCTAAGTTATCAGGGCAATTACCCTGTTTTGACTGAAATTATAGGGTGTTTTTTCTAGGAGCCCTGATTTTCACAAGGTTTTTTCCGGACCAGCCCGTAAACTGAAGGGTAACTTTTGAGTCAGCTCGGATCTCTCCGGGGAGTTCTCAAGGGGACCCGTATAATTTTAGCAGACATGTTCTCCCCGACCTGCCTTGCATTCCTCTCGGTCTCCCTCTAAACACACGTTGGGCCAATTTTAGTGAATTTCCTAACCACTCTCTCCTTGTTGGCCTCCATGTGTCTGATTGCCCCGTTCTACGTCGACATGGCTTAGAAGGCCAATAAGGAGAGAGTGTCTGATTGCCCTGTTCTCCCGATGTACTCTTCCTCATCGTATTTTTTTCTAAGTCTACAAAAAGTATCTCGCTCACCCCTCCAGAGCCACTCCATCTCCAATCTCCCCAGCCCTCGCGCAACCCACTGTGAGTTTCCCGCGAAATTCTGGTAATGCATGTTTTCAGGCCTTTTCTGGCTCGAACCCGGATTCGTCAAGGTTTTTTTCCCGCTGGCTCGGATTTTACAGGGTCTTTTTCACAGGGGCCCGGATCGTCCGAGCTAGCAAAAATCCTAGCAATAGCCCTGCTCACGAATCCTCAACTCTGTCGTCTGCGAGGGGAAACTGGGCGCTGCTCGTTTCCTTCGTAGCTCCGCTTGTCGAGGTCCGTGTGGGCGAGGTGCGGAGGGCGGACCTCTCCATCGCGACGCGAGCGAAACCAAAGCTAGTGGCGAGAAGTCGTAACATTTCTTTGCAAATTCGTGACAAGGTTCGCGGATTATTGATCAGCAGCAACATTCACCCGCAAGCAAGCAAGCAATGCGTTGACTAAGACGACGGACGATCCCAAAAATCGACGGCTCTCAAGCAACCACAGACACATTACAAGTCTGAAAATTTTGGTTGATGTCACGACTCTCGTATAAAACGAAGCTTCGTTAACGCTGGAGACGATTTTCCAACCACTACCACGTTGTACCGCACAAAACCGTTACCTTCTGTCTACATTTTCACAAGTTTATAGCAGAAACAGCTTATTGTGCTCCTCACTGTCGAAGCATAACCACTAACGTGAACATAACAGCTCATTGTGCTCATTACTCACTTTTCCTGCGTTGTTCTGCTCCCTTGCTGTGATTTGTGTATCCGTCACATTAAAATAACGTGGACATAACACTCACAGAAAAATAAGATCCTACTTTATTGCTGTCACATGAATGACATTGTTTACATACCTACATCCATGATTGAAGCAGTCGAACTGTACTGATCAAATGAAGATTTTATAGCAACAGTGAAAAACCACTCAAATCCATCCATGAAGACCTCTGATTTTGCACCTTTCCAACCTAATGCCTCCTTTTCCTACCACAAAGCTTCCCCACCTCACCTCGCCTCTCTAGCGCGGAGCACCCCCACCGCCCGCAGGAGCAGCAGTCTGGGTAGCCCCCGGGCAGCCACCAGTGACCACTCCCTCCCAATACACCTCTGATGTTACAAGTCTTCCCCCCCCAACCTGTTCTCACTACCACAGAGCCCTCCCTCCCAAAACCTCTTCTCCATTCTAGCGCGGAGCGCCCGCACCGCCAGCAGGAGCAGCGGTCTGGGGAGCCCCCGGACGGCCACCCCTCTCCACGCAACACAACTCTAATGTTACACGTCTTCTTCCTGTCACCTGTTCCCACTACTGCAGACCCCTCCCCCCCAAACACCTCCTCTCCTCCTCTCCACTCTAGCGAGGAGCGCCCCCTCCGCCAGCAGGGGCAGCGGTCTGGGGAGCACCGGGGCGGCCACCCCTTGTCCGCATGGCCTTGGCTTGCATCATCAGCTCGTCGTAGTTCTGATGGTTGGCGCAGGTGGGGGGGGGGAAGAGGATGGTACATGTTAGACGGAAAGCCAGTGTGCCTCACAGCCCCACAGCCTGCTCCTCGCCCGCATGGCATTGGCCTGCACCATCAGCTCATCGTAGTTCTGACGGGTGGCGGGGGTGAGGGGGGGGAAGAGGTTGGTGTACGTTAGACAGAAAGCCAGTGTGCCTCACAGCCCCACAGCCTGCTCCTCGCCCGCATGGCCTTGGCCTGCATCATCAGCTCGTCGTAGTTCTGACGGGTGGCGGGGAGGGGAAGGGAGGGAGGGGTTGGTCTTATTGGATGGCCTCACAGCCCACCCTTGCCTGCATCTCGTCGTAGTTCTGATGGGAGGAGGGGAAGAAAGGGGGGGAGGGGTCGGTATAGTTACTCATGTTTCCCTGAGGGAATCAGGGAGAGGAAGGATCAGTGACTCATGCATGAGGGGAGATGGCCTCCCATGCGGCAATGCATCATCAGCTCGTCGTAGTTCTGAGAGACGAGGGGGAGGGGTGGAAGAGGGAGGTTGGTTAAAGGAAGTTGGTAGTGATTTTTGAGAATTCTCAAAAATCACTCGCAAGGAAAGAGGGGTCGATGTGCATCAGAACCCACCCTTGCCTGCATGGCCTTGCCTTGCATCACCTCGTCATACTTCTGATGCACTGCGCCTCACTGCACTGCACCACACCGCAGTGCACTGCACCACACAGCACTGCACTGCACTGCACCACACCGCACTGCACTCACCTTCTTCTCCATCTGCACGCCGCGTGGTTCAATAATCTTGTCGCACACGCCGTAGTCAATGGCCTCCTGCCCGCGCAGGTACTTGGGGCGCATGATATCGCGGTACAGCTCGTCCCGTGACTTGCCCGTGCCGCGCGCTAAGAGCTCGATGTAATAGTCCGTGTTCGCGTCAAGCTCCTTGGCCTGGATGGGAGGAAGGAAAAACGGGGGGGGGAAGCAACAGTGAGTCCTTTACAAGCGCAGGTACTTGGGGCGCATGATAACGCGGTACAGCTCATCCCTCGACTTGCCCGTGCCCCGCGCCAAGAGCATAATATAGTAGTCTGTGTTGGCGTAGAGCTCCTTGGCTTGTATGAGAGGAGGGAGAGATGGGAAGAGGGAGTGGTGAGGGGATGAGGGGATGAGGGAGGAGGGAGCAGAGAGGCCTGTACGCGCAGGTACTTAGGAAACTATTTTGGGGCGCCTCAAAAAGGGTACAGCCCAGCTTTCGAAGCGCCTTGGAAACAGTTCACTTTCAGTTGAGCATCTGGGGTCAATAACTGGCACCTCACCTTGATCCACATGTCAATGGCTGCTCCGCTTGATTGGCTTGCTCTGGGTGCATAGAGTTTGGCTGTTGGGAATGAAGGGGTTGTACAACACACACATGCACAGAAGCACATGCGCACACACGGACATGCACACGCAGGCACAACACACACATGCACAGACACACAAGCACGCACGCACGGCACACACACACCAACATTAGCATAAAGCTAAACTGCGCGATGCACGCTCATAGCAGTGAAAAGGAAAACGGAAGGAGCAGCGCAGACACTGACCCACTTGGGCGGCACCCACTCACGCTATTGGGCAGCACTCAATGCTGCTTTTGGGCGGCACTCACTGGCGGCATGGGGTTGCACGGCACGGTGGCCCTTGTCCCCTATGGCCAGCACTACGGATGCTGACTCAGGTCACGCCTAGTCTGAAGCAGCAAGGAAAAGGTGGTTCACTCACTGCCCGGTAATGAGAGTCTCGAGCGCCCGAAATGGAAGAAGAGAGAAAGAGTGGCATTCACTGACGGCATTGGGCTGCACGGCCCTATGGCCCTTGTCCCCTGTGGCCCTTGTCCCCTATGGCCCTTGTCCCCTATGGCCCTTGTCCCCTATGGCCAGCAGCACAGCCACTGAGACACACCATAAGACGTATACGCTTAGACCGAGGCTGAAAGCAGGAAGGCACTCACTGACGGCGTTGGGCTGCACGGCCCTGTGGCCCTTGTCCCCTATGGCCAGCAGCATGGCCGCCTGTCCGAACGCCTGCCCGCAGTTGACCGTGTAGACCTTGGACTTCACGTACTGTGATGGGAGAGGGGGGTGGGGCAAGGGGACGGAAACAACGGAGGAGAGAAACGAGGCAGTTCCTAAGTGGCTCCTGCTTGCGCGAATGCCTGCCCGCAGTTCACCGTGTAGCCTTGGACTTCACGTACTGTGATGGGACAGATGGAGAGGGAAAGTGGGGCTTGGGGGAGGAAAAGGGGGAGAGGTTTGAGCCGATAACTCAAAAACATTCTTCTTTTGTATAGGAGCTTTTGAGTCAGCTGCTGGAACATTCAGGGGGGTTTGAGAGGACGGGGACGGGGAGGGGTTGGGGGGAATGAAGCAGATGCGGACAAACAAACCACGCACAGCATCAGTGTGATGTATTGTCGTTGGCACTTGTGATCGACCCCCCCCCTTCCACCTCCCTTCCTTCCCCCCTCCCCCCACTTCCACTCCTTCCTCCTCCCCACTTCCTCCCCCGCCCGCCCCTCCCACACCCTACTTCCCAACGCTTTTCCCCCCCAAACCCCACCCCTTCCACCCAATGCTCACGTTCATGGTATCAGCGATAGCATACGCTTCGGTTTCAAACCCCACGCTCTCGCGCTTGTCGTTCTGCGTGCCGGAGGAGTTGATGTAGAAGTAGATGGGTTTGGATGGATTGTCGTAGTCCAGCCACAGCAGCTCCGCCACTATCAGCTCTGTCACTGCAGGGACAATCTGCAAAGGGGGGGGAGGAAAGAGCAGAGATACACACGCACGCACACACAACACGTTAGAGAAACAACTGCAGCCTGTACATGGGGTGGTGCAAAGCCAGCATGCAGGTGGGTTTGAAGGGGCTGTCATAGTCCAGCCACAGCTCCGCCACTATCAGCTCTGTGACGGCCGGGACGATCTGCGAGGGGGTGGAGACGGGTGGAGAGAGGTATGGGGGACAATAAAGGAGCGTAGATGGGTTTGGAGGAGTCGTCATAGTCCAGCCACAGCAGCTCCGCCACTATCAGCTCTGTCGCTGCAGGGACGATCTGCAGAGATGAGATGAACGGGGGGAGAGGAGAGAGGTAAGGAGGAGAAAGAAGGCGTGTTAATGGGCTTGTAGGGGTTGTAGCCAATCATCCACCCGCCCGCCCACCCGCCCACCTATCCACCCACCCACCCACCTATCCATCCACCCATCCACCCGTCCACCCGTCCATCAGTCCACCCATACCCGTCCAACCTTCCATCCATCCATCCACCCACCTTCCCACCCAGCACTCACGGGCATGCCCAGGGAAGCAGATGCGCGCGTCCACCCGTCCACCCGTCCATCCATCCATCCACCCACCTTCCCACCCAGCACTCACGGGCATGCCCAGGGAAGCAGATGCGCGCGTCCACCCGTCCACCAGTCCATCCATCCATCCACCCACCTTCCCACCCAGCACTCACGGGCATGCCCAGGTAGCAGATGCGCGCGTCCACCCGTCCACCCGTCCATCCATCCATCCACCCACCTTCCCACCCATGCACTCACGGGCATGCCCAGGTAGCAGATGCGCGCGTCCAGGAGCAGCGACGGCAGGTCGGGCGGCGCGGTCTTGGGGCGGCCGGCGCCGCCCAGCCCGCGGTACATGCTGACGCTCATGCTCAGCCGCGCCGCGGAGTACTCTAGGCCCGGCAGCGACCACATGCCCGTGCCGTTGCGGTAGTGCGCCGCGGACGAGATGCTCGCCTGGCGGAGAGGGCGGAAGGGGAAGGGGAAAGAAAAAAAAGGGGGGGGGGGGAGGAGAAAGGGAAGGAGGAGAGAGGCGGGAGGGAAAAGGGAGGGGGAAGGGGAAGGGAACGAAAGGGGAACAGGAAGAAGAAGTGAGGGGAGAGAGATTGGAGGGAGCGAAATGAGTAACAGACAGGAAGCTAACCCGAAAAAATCCAGGCATACATACTTAATCATTCACTCACTCACTCATACCTCGGTAACGGATTGGGATATCCGCGATACAGGGCTGTCCTCCGTCATGAGCATGCTCATCTGCGTGGAGTTCAGGCCGTACAGCGACGCCGGCACGTTGCGGAAATTCTCCATCACTGCCGTCCGCGCAAGAAGCGGAGCACGGAGCGGAAATGTCGGGACAATGAGAGCGGAGAAAGATTAGAGCAATAGGATACAACGGGACGACGGGCCTAGGCAGCTTATGGGTCGACTCCTGAGGCGACGCCGGCACGCTGCGAAAATTCTCCATCGCTGCCGGCCGAACGAGGAGCGGGGGAAGACGCGGAGGAGAGAAGCGGAGCAAAGAGAGGAGCGAAGAGCGGAGAAAGATCAGACCAATTCAATAGAATGAGACGATGGACCGAAGCAAACTCTTGAGTCCACTCCTGAGGCTGTTCAAGAGCACCGCCGTCGCTATCGCATCCGTTTGTAAGCTACCGCACAATAAAGTCCAATCACTCGTACCATGATCTACCGATCGCAGCGACGAGCTATCCTGAAGCCACGGGCTGTTCTGTCGCGACGTGGCATCAGAATCAGCCATATAACACCCCCCGTTTCGAAGATTCTCCAGGAGGAGAGTCGAACACGAAATACTAGTAGCTCGTGAAGGTGAATGGTACACAGAACCAAGTGCTCTAGTACCATAGGTTCCTCAACCCGTCCGTAGGTCACTTTCTCTTTCGCATCGAGCCGGAGTTTTCTTGAAAATTGCAATAGCCGGAGCTATTTCTCCAGGTGAAGTTGCATTAGTCCCCGTTACAAGGACGTCTGGTTGTGCGTTGACCTAGCGCTGAAACACCTACATCCTTCCTTCAAGTGCCTCTCCTGAAACTGCTTCGGAATGTCCCTCATCGCAGCGCGTGCGACACCTCTCGCGACACGCTCGCGACCTTCGCAGCTCCGCTGCGATATCGCAAGCCTCTGACCCTGGAGCAGCGATCCCTGAGAGAACCCCACGCGGCCAGCCGATGCACGCGAGTCGGAACGGAGCGACGCGGCAGGCGACGCGACAGGCGTCCTGACGGCATCTGACACCCCTAGGGCGGCCATATCGCGGCGACTAACTAAACAAGAAGGGGGGGTTAGGGTTGCGTCTGCGATAAGAACGATTCCGACGATCACGCCTTGAAGGGGACGACGGGGAGGGACTGAACGGTCACTAGGAGGCAGAGAAACTCGACATCCATGTAGAAAAAAGGCCGTGTAGTGGAAAAGGCTTGGGGATACTAAATATGAGGGTTGCTGTTCCATGGGGATGGTACATCCGAGGCAACACCGAAGTCTGTATTTCTAAAGAGATCGCACACGGTTTTGCTGTGTTCAGAAAGGTATACCACGGTAAGATGTGCTACAGCAAAAGGTAACCCCTAGGCCTGGATTTGTGGGGCGCGGACAGCGGGAAGGGGGAATGGCTAGGGCAAAGCTGGGATGGCGGAACAAAAATCCGCGGAAAGGGTATCGGGGGAAACTGGTAAGGGGGGCGAAACGACGTTTCTGAAGCAAGATGGAAGGGGAAAGATCGATGGCCGAGATTACGCTTCACAACCTCGAGAAGCAGGAGATTTCTGCCACGTCGCCGTTTCTCCTTTGAGACATTCCGCTACAATTGTCTAGGCAAGTTATCAGCGTGTGCACATATTGCTAGAGGATAGCAAAAATCAGTTACCTAAATTAGTTGACCATGGTTATTTAAAACTGCTTCCCAAGCTCCACCTTCTTTAGCATACTAAGTGCATTGTGGAACATTCCATCAATTATTCCGGCAACCTGCAACCACAGAAGAGAGCAGGTCAGGAATGTACGATATGAAAGCTAAACAAATGCAACACCAACCATACGAGTGACCATGGAAGGTAGGAGTGCACATAAGAGAGGATACGCACCGTGAAGACACCGCCAATGATAGCACAGAGGTTTGTGATGAAGTGGAAGAAGGGACGCCTCGTTTCCACAATGAGGACCTGGGAGGGGAGGGGGGGAGCGGAAGGAGGACAGGCATGGCTAGCAGTGGTCAGAAAGCACAGCTGGTTCAGGTTACTTCAACACTGACCTGCCTGTGAAAATGCATGTCGGAGAATAAAAATAACTTGCCGCCAAACATAGAACAAAATTAAAGAACAGCTCAGTACTGACCTGCATGGGCGAGAGCTCGTAGTGGAAGCGCGAGACGGGCACGGTGGGTGCCTGCAGCGTGTGGCTGTGCGCGGTGTAGTCATATGAGTGCAGCGAGCTGTCCTTGCGGGATACTCCCAAGGGATGCACCTCCGTCAACACTATCTGCATGAAGTGCTCGTGCTGGGAGGGGGAGCGGGAGAGCGATGGTGGGGTGGTTGTGAGCAGGGTTGGATGCAACTCTGTCAGCACGAACTGCATAAAATGCTCGAGTGACACTGACACACAGCAGCATAGCATACAACCCCATCTATTATCACATCGTGATAGTCATGCTCCACTTACAGTCACATTGACCCACCATCACACAACCCCACTTACAGTGACATTGTTGTGGTTGGAGGGGGCACGTACGGGCGAATCCAGGCCACCGGCTCCTGGTTGCAGCGGGTCGAGATTGAGCCAACCTCCCTCAGTGCCACAGTGACACCATCATACACCCCCACACACAGTCACTTTCAAACATGATGCACCCCCACTTACAGTGATATTGTCGTGGTTGGAGAGGAAGGAATGCCCCTTTAGCAGCCCCATGGGTGCAGGCACGTACAGACGCAGGCGCGCCACCAGCTCCTGCTTGCGGCGGGTGAGCTGGCGACTTCTCTCAGTGCTACACTAACATCATGACCATTGTCGTGATGGTCTGTACGTGACAGCTGCCTGTTCAAACCCACTTACAGTGACATTGTCATGATGGTCTGTACGTGACAGCTGCCTGTTCAAACCCACTTACAGTGACATTGTCATGATGGTCTGTACGTGACAGCTGCCTATTCAAACCCACTTACAGTGACATTGTCGTGGTTGGAGTGGAAGGAATGCCCTTCCAGTCGCCCCACAGGGGCAGGCACATAGGGGCGCAGGCGCGCCACCAGCTCCTGCTTGCGGCGGGTGAGCTGGCGGCCGAAGGAGAAGCGGTGGATGGAGTGCGTCATGTTCATCGTGGAGGCATCGAACGAGTGTGCCGTGGAGTGCGCCGTTATCATCAGATTGCCCGGCACCTGTGCGTGGGGGAGAGGGCGGGGAGAGACCGAAGGTGAGCTGGCGGCCAAAGGAGAAGCAGTGGATGGAGTGCGTCATGTTCATGGTGGCGGCGTCAAACGAGTTTGCCCTGGAGTGCGCCGTTATCATCAGATTGCCCGGCACCTGTGCGTGACAAGGTGAAGGGAGGAGGGCGGAGAGGGGAGGGGAGGGGAGATTGGAAGGCAGGGAGGCAAACTGGAGAGTGGAAGGGGCGAAGGCAGGGAGAGAGAGTCGGGGGGGGGGGGGGGGGGGGGGGGGGAGAGAGGAATGAGCTGGCAGCCGAAGGAGAGGCGAAGGATAGAGTGGAATTCCATCATATCATACCTCGAGCATCGATTTAGACAACAGCTCACCTTCTTGACGAGCACAAAGCCCTCGATGTTGCAGCCGCCAGAGGCAGGGGCGCGGCGCTTGACGTGCTGATGGCTGTCCTCCGCTGCTGTGGGGCGGCCCACTGTGGCTGATGGGACGAGAGACTCCGCAAACTGAGGTGATTGCACGGCACGCAAGAGGGGATGGTTGATAAGTTAAAGAGAAGTGTTGAGGTAACAGAGCATGGGCGTAGCCATCGCAGAGCAGCGAATCGAACCGTCATACCAAATGGAAGAACTCAAACCATTCAGAGTAGGTGGGTGGTCACAGGCAACAGCACAGGAGGCTCCAGAGATAATGAGGACGCATACAAGCGAGGGGGTGGACAAAAAAGGCATGGCGGAAAAGCAAAGCTTACCGCAACGAGTGACTCGGCGTCCCGCTCTCCATAGTATGACTCGTGGTCGTGCTCCCCGTGCTCCCCATGCATGCTGTTCAACCAACACCACATGCACCATGCCACAGGGAAAAACAACACATCATGCACGCAAGTTACTAAGTGCCTCAACAACCATGTTGGCGGCTGTGAGAGTCTCAAAAGCTATGCTTGCTCGCCATGCATGCTAGGTGGGTCGCCTGGCACAAAGGCCAACCTGCCCATGGGCCATGGGCCACATTGGCGCATGCAATCACCGCAGATTCGTGTCCTTGCACTTCGTTTGCCTAACAGTAAGAACACACTGAGGTTATTCTACTGTGAATCCCCGTTTGTTGCGTGCACTCACCGCAGGTCCATGCCCTTGCGGAAAATGCGGATGGACGGGAAGCCCTGGATGTGGTTGCTGCAGTGAAATGTGCGGGGGGGGGGGGGGGGGGGGGGGGGAGGGGGGGAGCATCAAAAGACATGAGGGTAATTCGTGAGTTGTCTTAACAAGGAAAACCCTGGAAGGATGTGATTGCTGCAGTGAAACAAAAGGGAGGGGCAGTGCCGAAATCCTTAAGAGAAGTCAAGTAAAATGGACTCACTCTCGGCACACATCCTGGTAGATGGTGCAGTCGATCTTGGCAAAGCGGATGCGACCATCGTAGTCAGGATGGTACCTGGTGTGGAGAGATAGGGACGAAGAGAGAGAAAAGAGGGAGAAACAAGAGAGATGAGAGGGAACGAAGGAAGAAACGAGACTGAAGGGAGATAAGAGAAGCGAGACAGATGCATGAACAGAGACTGGCAAGGGGAGTCGCAAACATCAAGATAGGCACACAATGTGAGCAGGCATGGTGGCGAGTCCCTGGAACGAGCCAGGATATTCAGCAGGGGCAGGAGGAATACGTCAGTGGCAAGTCAACGGGGTCAACGGGATCAATGGGGTCAACGGGGTCAAACGGGCAGGTTGATTGATCTAGTGTGAAAAAGAGTGCCTACGTCATAAAAAACGATCAGGGAGGCTTCTGAGAAGGACTTACTTTCGATTGAGGACAGTTGCTGCCTTTTCCCATGCTGGCTCCTGCAGACGAAGCAGGAGGGGACGAATGGATGGTGAGATTCACGTGAACAGTGGGACGGGAGGAGGGCGAGATGGGGAGAGGGCAGCGCGATAGGAGGGGGAGATGGGCAGAGGGTAGAGCGAAACTGGTGGAAGGGTGGGTCGGGAGGAGGGCGAGACGCGGGAAGAGTGGCATGGGAGAAGGACGTGCTGGGAGCGGGGCGAGACGAGAGGAGGGCAAGACGGGAGAGGGCAAGGCTGCAAACAAGTACGCTTACGTAGCAAGGCGTCTGCAAAGCATACGTGCGGTGCAGTGCAGTGCACTCACCAGTCTCTGGCACCAGGGGCACCAAGGGGCAAAGAAATTGACCACGAGGATCTGATACCTGCTCAGTGGGAGCACAGCGGATGCGCGGGAAGAGGGGAGACCGCTATGGATGGTAGACGCAGCAGCATTGGGCATCTGTGTTCGAAGTGCAATGAGCCTGACACTCAGCAAGTCATGATAGTCAAGAACGTAATTATGTAATAAATCACAAGCTCAACAAGTGGCAAAAAGGAACGTACCAGTGGGTGGAAAACAACCTCTCAGCCAAGCCACTCACTCGTGGGCGAAGTGTTCGAAGTTGTCCTTTTTGAGCATGAGCAAGCCCACATACTCATGGCCGTCCTCCTCCATCTTCTAGTTTGAAGACGACCCAGACCAGCCCAACCGCACATCACCACTTACTTGTGCGCAAAGTGTTCAAAATTGTCCTTGTTGAGCACGTGTGAGCCCACGTACTCATGCCTGTCCTCCGCCATCTTCTGGTTTAGAGAAGCCTCAGACCAGCCCAACCGCACCGCACCACTCCCTCGTGGCCGAGGTGCCAGCCCAACCGCACAGCACCAATCCCATCCGCACAGCACCACTCACTCGTGCGCGAAGTGTTCGAAGTTGTCCTTGTTGAGCACGAGCGACCCCACGTACTCATGCCCGTCCTCCGCCATCTTCTGATGCACCTCCTCCGTCGTCTCGTTGCTGTCCTCTCCGTGCTTCTCCGGCACCGGCAGCGGGTCCGGGTGGTGCTCTGGCCCCACCCAGTTGCCTGACGCGTCGATGGGATACTTGCGGACCGTCTTGCTCAGGTTGTACCGCGCCTGTGGGTGGGGGATGTGGGAGATGAGGAGGGGGGGGGGGGGGGGGGGGGGGGGGGGGGGGGGGGGGGGGGGGGGGGGGGGGGGGGAGGGGTGGGAGCGGGAATGAGAGACGCCTCTCCGGCACGGGCAGCGAGTCCGGATGGTGCTCCGGCCCCACCCAGTTGCCTGACGCGTCGATGGGATACTTGCGGACCGTCTTGCTCAGGTTGTACCGCGCCTGTGGGTGGGGGATGTGGGAGATGAGGAGGGGGGGGGGGGGGGGGGGGGGGGGGAGGGGTGGGAGCGGGAATGAGAGACGCCTCTCCGGCACGGGCAGCGAGTCCGGATGGTGCTCCGGCCCCACCCAGTTGCCTGACGCGTCGATGGGATACTTGCGGACCGTCTTTCTCAGATTGTACCGCGCCTAAGGGGATGGGGGGATGTGGAGGAGGCGGGAGAGGGGGGAAAAGGGGGGTGAGAGGGGAGGGGGGAATGAGAGATGCGTTGATGGGTGCGCACTCCGTCTTGCTCAGGTTGTACAGCGCCTCTGGGGATGTGGGGGATGGGGTAGTTGGGGGAGATGTTGAGGGGGGGCCGGAGGGGAAGTAGGAGGGAGATTGAGAGACGCGTCCCCTCAGGTTGTAGCGCGTCTGCGGGGATGCGGGGAAGGGTTCCGAGGAGACGCGACGAGGCACACTGTTGAGAATGGGTGCAATGTTCTCCAGGGCGGTATTTCTGTGTTGAAGAGAAGCAGTGTGTGGCGTTGAATGCGCGTGCCAGTAGTGGAGCGTCGCTGGATACACACTGCAGCTTGGCGTTCGGGCAAGTTGCCAATTCAGGTAAAAAGGGTGGAATGACAATACATCCAGCGGAGGTTCAAAACGGAATCAGGGCGGATTCAGGGAGGATTCTGGACTTACAGTTCCGAGCACGTCGGTGACGTCGACTGACGCGAACTCACACGACAGCGCTGGGAAACTGCACGCAGAAAGAACAAAAATCAGTTTCAGAATGGATAATCCACTTAGACATAATAAATTTTGCGGTGAATATTCCGATACTGGTGGGTGCGAAGTCCGCATGAGACAATGAGACATATTGTCAGTAGCGTCAAGCAGGGATCGCTGACTAGCCTCACCTGAAGTTGAAGTTTATCCGAAGCAGCTCGCCGTTTTGGCTCTGATCCACGATGACTTGCGTCGTGGTGGAGACCTTGAGAAAGCTGTTCAGTTCCTGAAAGGCGGAGAAGGTGAGCGGCAATGCGTGAAAGACCGGAACGCGACAGCGACAAGATAAGAGGAAAGATTAGCGCAACGGACAAAGAAAAACCAGCTTGAGCAGCTGTCCAGTCTCTTTGACTTAGCTGCTTCAGCTACAATAGAAGAGAAATAGAAGCATGAAATGACGTAGCTTGGAAGCCATACCGCGATAAAGAGGAAGATCATGGTCGTCGCGGCTACGATCGACAGACTCGCACCGGAGAACGAAGCCTCGGTGAGATCCCGAGGGATCTTCCTGCGAAAATGAGCACCAGCCAATAAAAAAAAGGTACAAACAAATATTTTACCAAGGTGAGGAAAATGAGTGAATCTACTACGGCCGACTCGACATTGGCAACAGAATGCTAACTAATACCGTCGACGCAATCCACTCATAATCGCACCTGTAGAAATCTATCGCCTTGAGCTTCGCGAAGGCCGACATGGCTGCAGCACGGAAACGAAAATCACTATGCTCTGGTCCGAGATGTAAAAGCAGTGCTGATCTGCCGGCTGCCTGAGCAGCTACGCTACTAGATCCAACGAGACTGCAGCAAGTGCTAGTATGTTCTCCTTGCCGAGCGATCTAGTGCATCAGAAAAATTAGTGGGATGAAACTGGACTGGACCTGATAGAAGAAAGCTCGGTGCAGAAACCTTGGACTTTCTTTGTTCATTGCAGGAAGCTTGGTGTTTTTCCGATGCGATACAAGAGAAAATGATTTTGAACGGTCTGAAGCGGAAACAATAAGGTACCTTGTAACGAGGACACCATTATTTGTTCAGCAGCAGATCAACGAGCCTGATTTACTCGTTCTTGAGGGCTTCAATTTGTGACACTCGTGTTTCGGCATGATCATGCCTTTTGCTGGCACAGAATGTCAGATCAATCTGTCCAGTCTTCGTTGCCGCAACAGTCTTCCTGGCCTATTGACCAGTGTCTTATTCGCTAATAACGGCTGCTGGCATAAGCGCGGTTGTTCTTACCACCCGTCATTTCTATTACAGCGAAATACTGTGAATTCAAGGATAATAACTTCTTAAAAGCGGCTGAATTTGGAGTGGAGCTCCGCGGTTGGCGCGGAGCCATGGAGCTGGAGGCGAGGCAGATGGAATGCTTAGAGCAGTACCTGCTCTTAGCTAAGAGCGCTCGAGGGAGAGCTCTAGTGGAGCTCGTGACGAAAGCCACATCAGATCCAAATCTATTCGCGTTTGGGGAGCTCCTAAACGTTCCACAGATTAAAGAGGTGAATCACCTCGCCTCGTTGCCCAACCCAGTTTACGCGAATTTTCCAACCGACGCGTAATATATTATTTGTGATCTCGCTAGGTTTGATCGCTAAATAGGCCTAGATTTTATCCTTATTCGCCATATGCAGTTGGAGGGCACAGAGCACGCGTCAGCACTGGCCGTTCTGCGGTTATTCGCGTATGGCACGTGGCCTGAGTACAAAGGTGCGTTTCTTCTACTCTGACGAGTACCGTAACAACGAATTCCCCGCTCGTTTCGCGGTTTAGTGACACGCGGGCTGTGGATGTTTCTGCACTGCAGCTATCCCATGCCAGGATATTCAGACGTGCGGGTTTCTGATGAGCTCTTGCCGTGTCGTGCAGAGAAAGCGGCGCAGTTGCCGGAGCTGCAACCGCAGCAGCAGCTGAAGCTGAAGCAGCTTACAGTCATGACCCTTGCCGAGGACTCCAAGGTGGGTTTGAACGTTAGGTTTTCAGGGTGAGAGAACTGGAGCTTGGGGATTGCTCCGTGACAGGCTCCCACTGTCGCAGTGTACCTCTTCCCCCCCACCAACATCCCCCCACCTCCCCCACCTCAGACACCTCTCCCCCCAAACCCACCCCCCACACCCCCCTCCCCCAACACACACATAACCCGCTGTTCCATCTTACCGCGTTCTATTCTGTCAAAAAGCTTCACTACAGTGTGTGCTTTTCGAGTCCACTTACAACACCCGCCTGCGCTCGTTGCAGGCATTTGCTGTTCCAACCCGCTTTTCTTCTCCATGTTCGAATCTCCTTTCTATTCTACATTCTCCATCCTCGCCATAAGCAGGTTCTCCCCTACAGCGCGCTCATGGAGCAGCTTGACGTCAGCAATGTGCGACAGCTGGAGGATCTGCTCATCAACGACTGCATGTATGCGGTATGTGATTGTGCAGAGCTGCTGGTACGTGGTATGTGACTATATCGTGATAGAGTATGTGTGTATGCAGTATGTGACTGTATATGTACCTAATTCTAAACAATGCTGGTGGCAACGTGCGATTATGCGACTTTTCTTGTATGTGTGCATCCCTCCCGTTTGCCAACATGTAACACGTGCACGACGTGGTGGTAACCGCATGGCATGCCAGGGCATTCTGCGGGGCAAGTTGGACCAGAGGAGCCGGTGTGTGGAGGTGCAGTTCGCTGCTGGCAGGGACCTTCGCCCGGGTCAACTCTCCTCCATCCTCGCCACACTCTCCCAATGGTCAGTGCCGCCCCTCCCACACTTTTATCAACATGTAACATGTCAACCGAGCTTGCTGCTAGCAGGGACCTTCGCCCGGGTCAACTCTCCTCCATCCTCGCCACTCTCTCCCAATGGTCAGTCTGTCACAACCGATTGTTCTAGGGGAGGGAGCACCACCCAGGAGGTAAAGCCATACACGTGAATGAGAAGATCAGCGCGTCTATGTCAGAATGTTATATTTCTCTAGTATGCAGTGGGGTACTCTATAGTGAGTACAGCCCTGTTAGGGTTTGCTATATGTATCCCATTGTTTGCTAGTGAAACCCCTCTTTTGCCTATTCTCTCTTGCCTAGCTAGCTAAACCCTAGCCATGGCTCCTTCGTACTAGCTACTGTTTCAACATGCTATCAGAGCGGTTACGCTCCTGGCCTGTGGGCCCGCCTGCTTCAGCTGCCATACTGTCTGTCGCGCGCCCCGTGGCGCGCGACGTTTTTTCTTCCCGCCACGCGCTCGGGGCGCATGGCGGTTTTCTGCCCGCCACGCGCTCGGGGCGCGTGGCGGTTTCCTGCCCGCCGCGCGCCCTGGGCGCGCGCGGCGGTTTCGTCGCCCGTCGCGGCACCCTGGGGGCCCGCGCGTCGCCCTGCCCGTCGCCCGTCGCGGCACCTTGAGGGCCCGCGCGGCGCCCCCTCTCGTCGCCCGTCGCGGCACCCTGGGGGCCCGCGCGTCGCCCTGCCCGTCGCCCGTCGCGGCGCCCTGGGGGCCCGCGCGTCGCCCCCTCTCGTCGCCCGTCGCGGCGCCCCGGGAGCCCGCGCGCCGCCCTGCCCGTCGCCCGTCGCGGCGCCCTGGGGGCCCGCGCGTCGCCCCCTCCCGTCGCCCGTCGTGGCGCCCTTGGGGCTCGCGCGCCGCCCTGCCCGTCGCCCCTCACAGCGCCCCAGGGACCCGCGCGCTGCCCCGCTTCCGCTCGCACGCCGCCCCAGCTGCTGCCCGCGTATCTGCCCCGCGCCGCGCGCGCGCCGCCTGCGTTGGGGGTATGGGGGTGGCGGGTATGGGGGTGGCGCGTGTGTGCGCCGTCCCCTACTCCTCCTCCTCCTCCGTCTCCCACTGCTGCAGCTGCCGCTGAGGGGGGTGGATGAGTGGGAGCCGAGGGAGTGGCAATAGGGGGGTGCCGTGGGAGAGGAGCTAGGGGTGCATAGGGGGGTGTGTGAAAGGGGGTCTGCGACAGTGGGGGAGGGTTGAACGGAGGTAGCCGTTGTGGAGCCAGCAGCGCCAGTAGTCCGGGAAGGTCGTGTCCTTGCTCCGGTAGCCAGCGAGCCCGTTGCGCCAGTTGCCCGTGGGTCCGTTGCTCCAGCCGCTCGTCGTAGCCGCGGAGCCAGTTACTCCAGTAGTCCGGATACCCTCGCGCGTTCGGTAGCCAGTGTGCCAGTTGCTCCAGTAGCCCGTGTGCCCTGCTTCAGCCGCCGCCTCCAATCTTCTCTCCTCTCACAGTCCCTCCTCCTCACTTGCCCTCTGTGACTGCCTCTAGCTCTGCTTGTGCTTGTGAACTTCTTATGCGACTGTTTGCTGTGCTGATCATACCCCACTTTGCCTATGGGGGTGTGTCAGAATGTTATATTTCTCTAGTCTGCAGTGGGGTACTCTATAGTGAGTACAGCCCTGTTAGGGTTTGCTATATGTATCCCATTGTTTGCTAGTGAAACCCCTCTTTTGCCTATTCTCTCTTGCCTAGCTAGCTAAGCCCTAGCCATGGCTCCTTCGTTCTAGCTACTGTTTCAACAGTCTATCCTCGCCAATCTCCCATCCTTGCAATCCTCCTCTGTGCTCCCCTGGGCTCCCCCCCGGTGCTTCCCTGTCCTCCCTTGGTGTGCAGGGTGGCGACGTCAGAGGCAATGCTGGGGACGATAGAGAAGCGGATTCAGTGGGCAGATGAGAAGGGGGAGGAGTGGGCCAAGCACAAGAGGGAGGTGGAGGAGCAGGTGGAGGAGGCCAAGAAGAACATCCGGGTGAGTGGGTGGGTGGGTGGGTGGGTGGGTGGGTGGGGCGTGTGGTCCTTCAGTGGCTTCATCCCATACCAGGCATACGTGACTCGTGAGCACTCGTAGAGACGATAGCTGTACCTGAGCACAGGAGGGAGGTGGAACCTGGAGGAGCATGTGGAGGAGACAAAGAATCACATCTGGGTGGGTGGGTGGGCGGGACGTTTCTACACGATTTCCCCATCCATTCTCTTACCCCGACCCATATTTTTTTCTCTCGTTGTCTTTGACCAGGCTGAGATGGAGATGCGGGGGCCAGAGGCTATGTTCGTGGAGGGGCCATCAGCAGGAGGATCCGGGTTGGGCATGGGCATGGGCATGGGCATGGACTATGGGGAGGAGATGGATCGCTCCCGACCAAAGAGGTCAGCAAGGTGCTCCCCTCTCTCTGTCTCGCTCGCTCCTTCTTTCTCTCTTTCCACCTCTATCGCTGTATCCCTTTCTTTCTTGCTCACTTCTTTTTCTGTTTCCGCCCCTCAAATTCCTTGCCGTTTGTCTTGCCCATTTACTTGTCCTGTTGATTTTCCTCCTCTTTCTCTTCTTCCTAATTTCGTTCATCTCTCTCTTCTTTTCACTGAAGGTCGTCGCCGTTGCTTTCCACCTATTGCCTCCATCCAACCGCACACCTAATCAGTCACCCATGCACTCACCCACCCCCCCTCCTTCCCACCCACCTTTCTACTCACCCTATCAATTGCTACTCTCCAATGGCAGGAGGAGATGAGGCTCGCCAGGGGAACGACTGTTTACTAAAAACACAGGCCCTTAACTTCCTATTACCATCAGCATTCCATTCCGATCTTGGAAGTCGCTACAAGTGGGATTCTTACCCCAGTAGATTACTCATTACACTTCAACAGTACGCTGAAACTGTTCTGAGGAACATGCCTTTTGTGTATCTGTCTGGTATTGAATTCAATTCTTCCATTTAGGAAAGCCTTTTGGTGTTGCTTAGGCAATAGATGCCAAGTGCACTGCCCGGTTAAAGAATGAAGCTGTTCATAAAGCTCTCCTACCATTCATATACGGTAGTATATACACCATCACACTGCGCAGTTGGTGGCTAGGCATCTAACGGCTGTGCATGTAACAGTGTGCAACCAACGCTGCGCAGTCCACTTATTCCAACGAAATGTGCAGGCCATGCCGCTACAGTACTCTTGATGACTACCCGGTAGGTTTGAACGAGCCGACATTTGTCAGCTTTCTCTGGCCCATGTGAACGAATTTTCCAGAATACGGTATGATTGAACTGGATTTTGGACCTTCCTCACTCCTTGAATCATGCGTGTATTGTAAACAGGGGAATGAAACCTCATGCTGCGTCTTCAACATTTTGTCGGACACACACGGTACCGGTACCTACTTTGCTCCTGCAACTCAAACAAGCTGGGGTTGCTTCGCTCACTAGCCCAGAAGTAGTGGCGGCCGCTTGGGAAGGACTGGGATGTGGTCAACTCTGGCAAGATGGAGAGGGGCGGGGAGGGGTGGAGTGGAGGCGAGGACGACAGAGTGAGGGGAAAAAAGAGGAGAGGAAGACGAGGAGAGGGAGAATGCGAGGAGATGGAGAACGGGAAGACAACTAACCAGAGGCAAATTGCTGCACCTAATCGCCAACAATCAAATACTCCTGCTTGAGTTTGAACAGCCTGGTCCCAATGGGCATGGGAATGCCCATGATGATACAGTCCAACATCCCTTCTATCTCGTCCCTCACAACCGTGTTGAACACCCGTGCACCCCTCACAACCCCACGCCAGCACTCACTTTCGCTTAAGCTTTCACAGCCCCATGCCAACTCACTTCTGCTTAAAGGCCACAGCCAGAATTACCGAGTCGGCTGGCAAAGTGTCATCACTTTCACGCGATTGGTCTAGACTTTTGAGTGGGTTGTTCACGCGATTGGTTTTAGATTTTCCCTCCGAACCTCCTTCTGGGGTTTCCCGAACCTTAAATTTCCACACTGACTTTGCTGTGTAATTCGGGGTTTGGCCTTTAAGCTTGAACAGCCCGGTCCCAACAGGCATGGGAATGCTCATGATAATACATTCCCAAACCCCCTCAATCTCGTCCGTGCGCCCGTGCACGGCGGCATCAAAGAGGTGGTCGGTGGTGCACCCCTCACAACCCCATGCCACCACTCACTTTTGCTTCAGTTTGAAAAGCCCGGTCCCAACAGGCATGGGGATACCCATGATGATGCACTCTGAGACGCCCTCAACCTCGTCCTTGCAGCCGTGCACAGCCAACAGGCACAGAAGAATTGCATTCCCATACCTACCACCTCAGATACTCACTTCTGCTTAAGCTTGAACAGCCCGGTCCCCACAGGCATGGGGATGCCCATGATGATGCACTCCGACACCCCTTCGATCTCGTCCTTGCGCCCGTGCACAGCCAACAGGCACAGAAGAATTGCATTCCCATACCTACCACCTCAGATACTCACTTCTGCTCAAGCTTGAACAGCCCGGTCCCCACAGGCATGGGGATGCCCATGATGATGCACTCCGACACCCCTTCAATCTCGTCCTTGCGCCCGTGCACAGCAGCATCAAAGAGGTGGTCCGTGGTCTTCAATCTAACCCATGTGCCCATGCACCCATCACAACCCCATGCCAGCACTCACTTCTGCTTGAGTTTGAACAACCCCGTGCCCACAGGCATGGGAATACCCATGATGATGCACTCCGACACCCCTTCGATCTCGTCCTTGCGCCCGTGCACGGCGGCGTCAAAGAGGTGGTCGGTGGTCTTTTCAAAGGACGCCAGCATGAGCACACTGTCCTTCATCTTCGCTATTCCAAACCGCGTGATTCCCAACACCTCGCCCTGGGGGGTGGGAGGGAGAGAAGGAAGACGAGGGATGGGGGGAGTGGGGGCGGAAAGGGGAGGAAGGGCATTCACAGCAGCATCGAAGAGGTGGTCCGTGGTCTTTTCGAACTATGCCCGCATGAGCACACTGTCCTTCATCTTCGCTATTCCAAACCGCGTGACTCCCAACACCTCGCCCTGGGGGGTGGGAGGGAGAGAAGGAAGACGAGGGATGGGGGGAGTGGGGGCGGAAAGGGGAGGAAGGGCATTCACAGCAGCATCGAAGAGGTGGTCCGTGGTCTTTTCGAACTATGCCCGCATGAGCACACTGTCCTTCATCTTCGCTATTCCAAACCGCGTGATTCCCAGCACCTCGCCCTGCAGGAGAGGACACACAGGAGAGGACACACAGGAGAGGACACACAGGAGAGGACACAAAGTAGAGGACACACAGGAGAGGAGGCAGGAGGAGGCAGGAGAGGGTGGGGAATTGGAGGGGAGAATGGAGAGGGGACGTGAGGGAGAGAAGAAACCGGAAGGGGGATTCAGCAGTGGATGGAAGAGGTCACCAGCAAACATCAAGGAATGAACCAGGATGAAGAGTAACGACGTCAGACCAGCACCATGTAGGTGTGGATCGGGGTCTCACCTTGTAGGTCATGACGTCAGCGAGCAGCATCATGTGGCGGGGGTCGATGGTCATGCCATGCGACCCCATGGTGTAGTTGATCTCGTGCATGATGGCATGCCTCGCCGCCTCTATCCCCAACACACTCTCCACCTCCATCACATGGTTGCTCTTGGTTCTGCACCCATCCACACCTGTGACTCCCAGCACCGCGCCGAAGTTGGTCTGCAAGCAAGCGAGAGTGCAAGCATGGGTTGTATGGATGGGGAAGTGGAGCAGATGAGGATGGTGATGTGCCTCGCCGCCTCTATCCCCAACACACTCTCCACCTCCATCACATGGTTGCTCTTGGTTCTGCACCCATCCACACCTGTGACTCCCAGCACCGCGCCAAAGTTGGCCCTGCAATTAGCACATGCACGTATGAACATACAGGTGTGGGGAGCGGTGCAGATGAGCGTAACGGCATGCCCTATACAGCATCGCCACCACCCATCCGCCCTTCATCCTACCGCCCACCCAGCGCCACACACCCATCCCTCCCACTTTCCCCCGCTCACCCTTCCACCAGCAGGTTGTATTTCCCTCCGCCCAGGTCATTTATAACCGCCCACTCCAAACTCGCGATGCCCTTCACCATGACTTGAGGCAGTTTCTTCCGCAGGCTGTGCAGCGAGAAGAGAAGAGAAGAGCATGGGGTGTACAGCACACCTGCAAGCAAGCACTCACCCTTCCACCAGCAGGTTGTATTTCCCTCCGCCAAGATCATTTATAACCGCCCGCTCCACGCTCGCGATGCCCTTCACCATGACTTGAGGCAGCTTCTTCCTGAGGCTGTGCAGCGAGAAGAGCAGCTGGCGGCGGTCCTGCTCGGGCGAGTACACCAGCAGCTTGTCCGCGCTCACCACACGGATGTGCTGCGCCTTCAGCTTCATGCTCTCACCCACTCACCCACTCAAACCCCAACCCCCCACTCACCCTTCCACCAGCAGGTTGTATTTGCCTCCGCCAAGGTCATTAATAACCGCCCGTTCAACGCTTGCAATCCCTTTCACCATGATTTGAGGCAGCTTCTTCCTGAGGCTGTGCAGCGAGAAGAGCAGCTGGCGCCGGTCCTGCTCGGGCGAGTACACCAGCAGCTTGTCTGCGCTCACCACACGGATGTGCTGCGCCTTCAGCTTCATGCTCTCACCCACTCACCCACTCAAACCCCAACCCCCCACTCACCCTTCCACAAGCAGGTTGTATTTGCCTCCGCCAAGGTCATTAATAACCGCCCGTTCAACGCTTGCAATCCCTTTCACCATGACTTGAGGCAGCTTCTTCCTCAGGCTGTGCAGCGAGAAGAGCAGCTGGCGGCGGTCCTGCTCGGGCGAGTACACGAGCAGCTTGTCCGCGCTCACCACGCGGATGTGCTGCGCCTTCAGCTTCATGCGCAGCCGTGAGGCTGAGGTGATGGCATCTGCGACTGTGTAGGCTGTGATGTCCAGCTGGAGCGCGCTGATTCGATGGATGTCGAGGCGTATGGAGAGCATGGCTTGGCTTGGAGTGAGCACCGTTTTCATGCTCTTCACCACCTGGTATTGCGGGCAGGAAACAGGGAGAAGGGCGTGGCAGGGATTTTTTTGAGAATTCTAAAAAAATCCCTGCAACGTCAGGGAGAAGGGCGTGGAAGGCAGGCTAATAAGGTAGGTGCAAGCAAAGTGACTAGAGCGATTCTGGTGACTATAGTAATTGTAGTTGCTGCAGTGGTGACCCTTGCAATGAGAGCAATGCTTATTGCACCCACCTCCCCCAGGGTGGTCTTCTCAATGCGTCCCTTGACAATGCGTGCTGCCTTCACATCATTGTCCGTCTCCAGCTTGACGGTCACGATGGGCGTGCTGATGTTCTTAGCTGCGTTGATGATCTCCTTGATGCGCGGCACTCCCAAGGTCACATCTGTGTGGATGGAGAGGGTGAGAGCAGGCACGAACGGTACAGATGTGGCTGATTTGTGAGTGGACTAAGAGGCAGCTTGACGGTGACGACGGGCGTGCTGATGCTCTTAGCTGCGTTGATGATCTCGCGGCACTCCCAAGGTCACATCTTGTCGGACGATGGGTGGAAGGGGAGAGAGGGTATAGAGGGGAGGCTTGTTTCAGCACAAGAGCCGGATTGAGAGTGACGACTGCTGACGCTGACAGTGACAGCCAGCATGGGGAGACTATTTTGAGGCGCCTCAAAAATAGAGTGACAAATGCTGACAGTGACAGTGACAGGCAGCATGGGGGGAGAGCAGATAGAAGCGGAGGAGGCATGGGATGGGATTAGGAGAAGACAGGACGTGAGCAGGAGAACGATAGTGGGAAGAGGAATGCAACCTGCTCACGTGATTGTATGTTTGGACCCAGTCGCAAGTTCATGTACTCACTCGCGCCTCCTAGCTCATTCACTCGTTCACTCCATTCCTTCCAGCCATACGGATGATGTTAGGATTTATCTGTGTCCGGCTGTTGCGGCTGAGCAGAGGGAGAGCAGTGTCATGACTGCGGGCCACTGGTCATGAAGAAGAGCTGCAGCGTGAAGGATCGCTTTTTTGAGGCGCCTCAGAGGGACAGCAGTGTCACGACTGCAGGCTTACGTGAAAACGATTGCTCAAAACTCACTCATAGATGCAACACCGGCGAAATGGTAGGTCTGCAGTGGCACGTCCGCACATTCACATTCACTCACTCATAGAAGCAACGCCAGCGAAATGGAAGGTCTTGAGAGTCATCTGCGTGCCCGGCTCGCCAATGGACTGTGCCCCAATGGGCCCCCATTGCTGAATTCGTGCACTGCCTTAACTCAACACACATCCACGTCTGCAGTGGCACGTCAACACATTCACATTCACTCACTCATAGAAGCAACGCCAGCAAAATGGAAGGTCTTGAGAGTCATCTGCGTGCCCGGCTCGCCGATCGACTGTGCCCCGATGGCCCCCACTGCTGTGCCTGGTTCCATTCGCTTCGATTGGTAGCGGCGAATGCACGTGTCCAGGAATAACTGGTGAAGGTGTGTTGTTGGGGCCGGGGGAGGGGAAAGAGAAGACAGAAGAACCTGGGCCCCCACTGGCCCCCCACTGCTGTGCCCGGCTCCATGCGCTTTGACTGGTAGCAACGAATGCACGTGTCCAGAAATAGCTGTAGGTGTTGTTGCGGAAGGGGGAGGGGGAAGGGGAAAAGGACCGGGGGGAGAAGTGGGGAGGGGGGAGAGGGGGAAGGGATGGCAGAAGTGGGAGACAGACACTCGCCCAATGGACTGAGCCCCGATGGCCCCCATTGCTGTACCCGGCTCAGCTCACTTTGATGGAACAAGTCACATCGTAATGATAAGTCACACAGCACAGCTACACACCATGCCATGTCATGCCATGCCATGCCATGCCATGCCTTGCCACACATCTCCTCACCTGCAGTTGCTTGGCTGTCACCCCACACAGGTTCCGAGCCACCTTCTCAGCCACCCCTCGCTCCAACACCTTCTCCTTCTTCCCCTCCCCTTCCCCTTCCGCCTCCTCCTGCCCCTCCCCTTTCCCTCCCCCCTCCACTTTTCTGTCCCCCTTCCCCTCCCCATTTCCTTCTTTCTCAACACTCTCTTTCCCAGCCTTCCCATCCACCTCCATACCATCCTCTACCCCTCTCTCTGTCTCTTCCTTGGTAACCGGTAACCCTAGTCTTTGCCGTGTCGTCTCGATCGCCCCCAGCTGCTTGTCCAGAAAGCCCACCACCGAGTCGCGGAACCGAGTGGAGCAGCCGCCCTCCGACTCCGGGTCGGCGAACTCCGGGGCGGCGAATCTTGTCTGCATGTGCGCGCGCATCTCGTCGGGGAAGAGCGGGGGGTCGCTGCGCATGGGGCGTAGGGCCTGGTGGGTGGAAGGGGACGATGTGGGGGTTGGGGGGGGGGAGTTGAGGGGGAGGGCAAGGGGAACGAAGGGAGGGGAGAGAGGCACTGAGATGAAAATGCATGATTCTTGAACTCGTCGGGGAAGAGCGGGGGGTCGCTGCGCATGGGACGTAGGGCCTGGTGGGTGGAAGGGGACGGGGATGGGGAAGGGGTGGGGGGGGGGGGGGGGGGGGGAGAGGAAGGAGGAGGGGTGGAGGAAGAGAGGGGGTAAGGCACTGGGGAATGCATGATCGGGGAAGAGCGCACGCGGCCTTTGCGCAGGACATACGGCCTGGTGTGGTGAGGTCGATTTTTGAGTCGACTCAAAAATCGACTAACTACTTGCGCAGGACACACGGCTTGGTGTGGGAAGAACGGAAAGGAGGGGGTGGGTGGGAGGCAGAGAGAGGGGGGAGAACAGCGGGAGGACGTCCATGCCATGGTCTCACCCTCCCAGGCAGCACCCCACTACCACCACCATCCACCTGGCACGTGGTGAAGGTGCGGTCCAAATTGAGCGCCCCTCCATCGCTGCCCTCCATGTGGGCGGGGTCCATGCCATCGTCGCCATACCGCCATCCAACTATCACACTATCACACCGTCCGCCTTTGCACCCACCTGGCACGTGGTGAAGGTGCGATCGAGGTTCAGCGCCCCTCCATCGCTCCCCTCCATGTAGGCGGGGTCCATGCCATCGTCGCCATACCGCCATCCAACTATCACACTATCACACCGTCCCCCTTTGCACCCACCTGGCACGTGGTGAAGGTGCGATCGAGGTTCAGCGCCCCCCCATCGCTCCCCTCCATGTGAGCAGGGTCCATGCCATCGTCGCCATACCGCATCTGCACGATGCCGCCACTGGCGTTCCGCACCGTGCCGTCATACGCCACTGATAGATCCTCCAGGGCTTTCATCAGCCGCCGCGACATGTACCCCGTCTCTGCTGTTTTCACCTGGGGAATCACATGACGGGACGAAAGGTCAGGAGGCGCGATTGGAGAGGTCAGGTGGGGATAAAGCTGCAGCGCAAGAAAGTTGCTTTCTTTAGGAGAAATATGAATCACTTAGGTGAGGAGAAGGCGAGGGAGGATGTGGGAGGGCGGGGGAGGGGAGCACTCACAGCAGTGTCAACGAGCCCCTCCCGGCCACCCATGGTGTGAAACACGAACTCTGTGGGTGTAAGCCCGCTGTAGAACGAGTTTGCCACGAATCCCTTCGCCTGTGGTGGTGGTGGTGGTGGTGGTGGTGGTGGTGACGAGAGCGACAAGGTAATAAGAGTCCCAGAACCGTGGGTAAGCCACATGCTGTGCTTTATGCTACTGCAGTGAACAGCAATGCAACTCGATCGCACTACACATACACCTAGAAATCGCTCACCAGGCCAGTTCTACCACCGAGAAGAGAACCACGCACCACCATACCACACACCAGCAGCACCGCACTGCACACCTGTGGCGAGCGGTCGTGGCGGGGGAAGTGCGGCAGGGAGCGGTGCAGAAACCCATTGGGCGCTCGCTTGCCGCCGACAGACTGCTGGCCGACACAGGCGACCATCTGCGATATGTTGATGGGCGACCCCTTGGACCCACACTGCGACATGATGAGCGGACTGTTGCGCCAATGCAGCTCCCTCAAACACACCTGCATGTGCGGGGGGAAGAGGGAAGTGGGGAGGGGACGGGGTTTCAGGGGCTACATGGTTCGACCCTCTCTCATCAATCCCCTCACTCCCCTCACTCCCAGCGTTGCCCATACACGGTTGAATCCAATATCCCCTCCCTCCTCCACCTCACCTTCCCGGCCTCCTCTCGAATCTTGTTGAGCTCCCCGGTGATATTCGCCTCCAGGGTCTGAGCAGCATTGCACCCGGGCTGCAGCGTCAGCCGGCCCTCGTTGAACGCCTGGATGTGCCGCAGGCTGGCGTCGTACCCCTCCTCCACTGCCCGCTGCTTCTCGTTGTACAGATGCTTTGACGGCTGCACGTCGTCGATTCCAATGGAGAACCCGTGGTTGCCGATCCACCGTGCACTGAGAGGGAGGGGGAGGGGAGAGGAGTTGAGGGGAGGGGAAAGCATCGTACCCCTCCTCCACGGCCCGCTGCTTCTCGTTGTACAGGTGCTTGGACGGCTGCACGTCGACGATTCCAATGGAGAACCCGTGGTTGCCGATCCAGCGCGCACTGAGAGGGAGGGGGAGGGGAGGGGAGTTGAGGGAAGGGGAAAGCATCGTACCCCTCCTCCACCGCCCGCTGCTTCTCGCTGTACAGGTGCTTCGAAGGCTGCACGTCGTCTATCCCGCTGGAGAACCCATGGTTGCAAATCCACCTCGCACTGGTCGGGGGAAGCGGAGAGTGATAGTGAGAAGGTGTGTGTAGGGAGAAGAGAGCAGAATCGGAGAAGAGAGCAGAATCGGAGAAGAGAGCAGAATCGGAGAAGAGAGCAGAATCGGAGAAGAGAGCAGAATCGGAGAAGAGAGCAGAATCGGAGAAGAGAGCAGAATCGGAGAAGAGAGCAGAATCGGAGAAGAGAGCAGAATCGGAGAAGAGAGCAGAATCGGAGAAGAGAGCAGAATCGGAGAAGAGAGCAGAATCGGAGAAGAGAGCAGAATCGGAGAAGAGAGCAGAATCGGAGAAGAGAGCAGAATCGGAGAAGAGAGCAGAATCGGAGAAGAGAGCAGAATCGGAGAAGAGAGCAGAATCGGAGAAGAGAGCAGAATCGGAGAAGAGAGCAGAATCGGAGAAGAGAGCAGAATCGGAGAAGAGAGCAGAATCGGAGAAGAGAGCAGAATCGGAGAAGAGAGCAGAATCGGAGAAGAGAGCAGAATCGGAGAAGAGAGCAGAATCGGAGAAGAGAGCAGAATCGGAGAAGAGAGCAGAATCGGAGAAGAGAGCAGAATCGGAGAAGAGAGCAGAATCGGAGAAGAGAGCAGAATCGGAGAAGAGAGCAGAATCGGAGAAGAGAGCAGAATCGGAGAAGAGAGCAGAATCGGAGAAGAGAGCAGAATCGGAGAAGAGAGCAGAATCGGAGAAGAGAGCAGAATCGGAGAAGAGAGCAGAATCGGAGAAGAGAGCAGAATCGGAGAAGAGAGCAGAATCGGAGAAGAGAGCAGAATGGGAGAAGAGAGCAGAATCGGAGAAGAGAGCAGAATGGGAGAAGAGAGCAGAATCGGAGAAGAGAGCAGAATCGGAGAAGAGAGCAGAATCGGAGAAGAGAGCAGAATCGGAGAAGAGAGCAGAATCGGAGAAGAGAGCAGAATCGGAGAAGAGAGCAGAATCGGAGAAGAGAGCAGAATCGGAGAAGAGAGCAGAATCGGAGAAGAGAGCAGAATCGGAGAAGAGAGCAGAATCGGAGAAGAGAGCAGAATCGGAGAAGAGAGCAGAATCGGAGAAGAGAGCAGAATCGGAGAAGAGAGCAGAATCGGAGAAGAGAGCAGAATCGGAGAAGAGAGCAGAATCGGAGAAGAGAGCAGAATCGGAGAAGAGAGCAGAATCGGAGAAGAGAGCAGAATCGGAGAAGAGAGCAGAATCGGAGAAGAGAGCAGAATCGGAGAAGAGAGCAGAATCGGAGAAGAGAGCAGAATCGGAGAAGAGAGCAGAATCGGAGAAGAGAGCAGAATCGGAGAAGAGAGCAGAATCGGAGAAGAGAGCAGAATCGGAGAAGAGAGCAGAATCGGAGAAGAGAGCAGAATCGGAGAAGAGAGCAGAATCGGAGAAGAGAGCAGAATCGGAGAAGAGAGCAGAATCGGAGAAGAGAGCAGAATCGGAGAAGAGAGCAGAATGGGAGAAGAGAGCAGAATCGGAGAAGAGAGCAGAATGGGAGAAGAGAGCAGAATCGGAGAAGAGAGCAGAATCGGAGAAGAGAGCAGAATCGGAGAAGAGAGCAGAATCGGAGAAGAGAGCAGAATCGGAGAAGAGAGCAGAATCGGAGAAGAGAGCAGAATCGGAGAAGAGAGCAGAATCGGAGAAGAGAGCAGAATCGGAGAAGAGAGCAGAATCGGAGAAGAGAGCAGAATCGGAGAAGAGAGCAGAATGGGAGAAGAGAGCAGAATGGGAGAAGAGAGCAGAATCGGAGAAGAGAGCAGAATCGGAGAAGAGAGCAGAATCGGAGAAGAGAGCAGAATCGGAGAAGAGAGCAGAATCGGAGAAGAGAGCAGAATCGGAGAAGAGAGCAGAATCGGAGAAGAGAGCAGAATCGGAGAAGAGAGCAGAATCGGAGAAGAGAGCAGAATCGGAGAAGAGAGCAGAATCGGAGAAGAGAGCAGAATCGGAGAAGAGAGCAGAATCGGAGAAGAGAGCAGAATCGGAGAAGAGAGCAGAATCGGAGAAGAGAGCAGAATCGGAGAAGAGAGCAGAATCGGAGAAGAGAGCAGAATCGGAGAAGAGAGCAGAATCGGAGAAGAGAGCAGAATCGGAGAAGAGAGCAGAATCGGAGAAGAGAGCAGAATCGGAGAAGAGAGCAGAATCGGAGAAGAGAGCAGAATCGGAGAAGAGAGCAGAATCGGAGAAGAGAGCAGAATCGGAGAAGAGAGCAGAATCGGAGAAGAGAGCAGAATCGGAGAAGAGAGCAGAATCGGAGAAGAGAGCAGAATCGGAGAAGAGAGCAGAATCGGAGAAGAGAGCAGAATCGGAGAAGAGAGCAGAATCGGAGAAGAGAGCAGAATCGGAGAAGAGAGCAGAATCGGAGAAGAGAGCAGAATCGGAGAAGAGAGCAGAATCGGAGAAGAGAGCAGAATCGGAGAAGAGAGCAGAATCGGAGAAGAGAGCAGAATCGGAGAAGAGAGCAGAATCGGAGAAGAGAGCAGAATCGGAGAAGAGAGCAGAATCGGAGAAGAGAGCAGAATCGGAGAAGAGAGCAGAATCGGAGAAGAGAGCAGAATCGGAGAAGAGAGCAGAATCGGAGAAGAGAGCAGAATCGGAGAAGAGAGCAGAATCGGAGAAGAGAGCAGAATCGGAGAAGAGAGCAGAATCGGAGAAGAGAGCAGAATCGGAGAAGAGAGCAGAATCGGAGAAGAGAGCAGAATCGGAGAAGAGAGCAGAATCGGAGAAGAGAGCAGAATCGGAGAAGAGAGCAGAATCGGAGAAGAGAGCAGAATCGGAGAAGAGAGCAGAATCGGAGAAGAGAGCAGAATCGGAGAAGAGAGCAGAATCGGAGAAGAGAGCAGAATCGGAGAAGAGAGCAGAATCGGAGAAGAGAGCAGAATCGGAGAAGAGAGCAGAATCGGAGAAGAGAGCAGAATCGGAGAAGAGAGCAGAATCGGAGAAGAGAGCAGAATCGGAGAAGAGAGCAGAATGGGAGAAGAGAGCAGAATCGGAGAAGAGAGCAGAATCGGAGAAGAGAGCAGAATCGGAGAAGAGAGCAGAATCGGAGAAGAGAGCAGAATCGGAGAAGAGAGCAGAATCGGAGAAGAGAGCAGAATCGGAGAAGAGAGCAGAATCGGAGAAGAGAGCAGAATCGGAGAAGAGAGCAGAATCGGAGAAGAGAGCAGAATCGGAGAAGAGAGCAGAATCGGAGAAGAGAGCAGAATCGGAGAAGAGAGCAGAATCGGAGAAGAGAGCAGAATCGGAGAAGAGAGCAGAATCGGAGAAGAGAGCAGAATCGGAGAAGAGAGCAGAATCGGAGAAGAGAGCAGAATCGGAGAAGAGAGCAGAATCGGAGAAGAGAGCAGAATCGGAGAAGAGAGCAGAATCGGAGAAGAGAGCAGAATCGGAGAAGAGAGCAGAATCGGAGAAGAGAGCAGAATCGGAGAAGAGAGCAGAATCGGAGAAGAGAGCAGAATCGGAGAAGAGAGCAGAATCGGAGAAGAGAGCAGAATCGGAGAAGAGAGCAGAATCGGAGAAGAGAGCAGAATCGGAGAAGAGAGCAGAATCGGAGAAGAGAGCAGAATCGGAGAAGAGAGCAGAATCGGAGAAGAGAGCAGAATCGGAGAAGAGAGCAGAATCGGAGAAGAGAGCAGAATCGGAGAAGAGAGCAGAATCGGAGAAGAGAGCAGAATCGGAGAAGAGAGCAGAATCGGAGAAGAGAGCAGAATCGGAGAAGAGAGCAGAATCGGAGAAGAGAGCAGAATCGGAGAAGAGAGCAGAATCGGAGAAGAGAGCAGAATCGGAGAAGAGAGCAGAATCGGAGAAGAGAGCAGAATCGGAGAAGAGAGCAGAATCGGAGAAGAGAGCAGAATCGGAGAAGAGAGCAGAATCGGAGAAGAGAGCAGAATCGGAGAAGAGAGCAGAATCGGAGAAGAGAGCAGAATCGGAGAAGAGAGCAGAATCGGAGAAGAGAGCAGAATCGGAGAAGAGAGCAGAATCGGAGAAGAGAGCAGAATCGGAGAAGAGAGCAGAATCGGAGAAGAGAGCAGAATCGGAGAAGAGAGCAGAATCGGAGAAGAGAGCAGAATCGGAGAAGAGAGCAGAATCGGAGAAGAGAGCAGAATCGGAGAAGAGAGCAGAATCGGAGAAGAGAGCAGAATCGGAGAAGAGAGCAGAATCGGAGAAGAGAGCAGAATCGGAGAAGAGAGCAGAATCGGAGAAGAGAGCAGAATCGGAGAAGAGAGCAGAATCGGAGAAGAGAGCAGAATCGGAGAAGAGAGCAGAATCGGAGAAGAGAGCAGAATCGGAGAAGAGAGCAGAATCGGAGAAGAGAGCAGAATGGGAGAAGAGAGCAGAATCGGAGAAGAGAGCAGAATCGGAGAAGAGAGCAGAATCGGAGAAGAGAGCAGAATCGGAGAAGAGAGCAGAATCGGAGAAGAGAGCAGAATCGGAGAAGAGAGCAGAATCGGAGAAGAGAGCAGAATCGGAGAAGAGAGCAGAATGGGAGAAGAGAGCAGAATCGGAGAAGAGAGCAGAATGGGAGAAGAGAGCAGAATCGGAGAAGAGAGCAGAATGGGAGAAGAGAGCAGAATCGGAGAAGAGAGCAGAATCGGAGAAGAGAGCAGAATCGGAGAAGAGAGCAGAATCGGAGAAGAGAGCAGAATCGGAGAAGAGAGCAGAATCGGAGAAGAGAGCAGAATCGGAGAAGAGAGCAGAATCGGAGAAGAGAGCAGAATCGGAGAAGAGAGCAGAATCGGAGAAGAGAGCAGAATCGGAGAAGAGAGCAGAATCGGAGAAGAGAGCAGAATCGGAGAAGAGAGCAGAATGGGAGAAGAGAGCAGAATCGGAGAAGAGAGCAGAATGGGAGAAGAGAGCAGAATCGGAGAAGAGAGCAGAATCGGAGAAGAGAGCAGAATCGGAGAAGAGAGCAGAATCGGAGAAGAGAGCAGAATCGGAGAAGAGAGCAGAATCGGAGAAGAGAGCAGAATCGGAGAAGAGAGCAGAATCGGAGAAGAGAGCAGAATGGGAGAAGAGAGCAGAATCGGAGAAGAGAGCAGAATCGGAGAAGAGAGCAGAATGGGAGAAGAGAGCAGAATCGGAGAAGAGAGCAGAATCGGAGAAGAGAGCAGAATCGGAGAAGAGAGCAGAATCGGAGAAGAGAGCAGAATGGGAGAAGAGAGCAGAATCGGAGAAGAGAGCAGAATGGGAGAAGAGAGCAGAATCGGAGAAGAGAGCAGAATCGGAGAAGAGAGCAGAATCGGAGAAGAGAGCAGAATCGGAGAAGAGAGCAGAATCGGAGAAGAGAGCAGAATCGGAGAAGAGAGCAGAATCGGAGAAGAGAGCAGAATCGGAGAAGAGAGCAGAATGGGAGAAGAGAGCAGAATCGGAGAAGAGAGCAGAATCGGAGAAGAGAGCAGAATGGGAGAAGAGAGCAGAATCGGAGAAGAGAGCAGAATCGGAGAAGAGAGCAGAATCGGAGAAGAGAGCAGAATCGGAGAAGAGAGCAGAATGGGAGAAGAGAGCAGAATCGGAGAAGAGAGCAGAATCGGAGAAGAGAGCAGAATGGGAGAAGAGAGCAGAATCGGAGAAGAGAGCAGAATCGGAGAAGAGAGCAGAATCGGAGAAGAGAGCAGAATGGGAGAAGAGAGCAGAATCGGAGAAGAGAGCAGAATCGGAGAAGAGAGCAGAATGGGAGAAGAGAGCAGAATCGGAGAAGAGAGCAGAATCGGAGAAGAGAGCAGAATGGGAGAAGAGAGCAGAATCGGAGAAGAGAGCAGAATCGGAGAAGAGAGCAGAATGGGAGAAGAGAGCAGAATCGGAGAAGAGAGCAGAATCGGAGAAGAGAGCAGAATGGGAGAAGAGAGCAGAATGGGAGAAGAGAGCAGAATCGGAGAAGAGAGCAGAATCGGAGAAGAGAGCAGAATCGGAGAAGAGAGCAGAATCGGAGAAGAGAGCAGAATGGGAGAAGAGAGCAGAATCGGAGAAGAGAGCAGAATCGGAGAAGAGAGCAGAATGGGAGAAGAGAGCAGAATGGGAGAAGAGAGCAGAATCGGAGAAGAGAGCAGAATCGGAGAAGAGAGCAGAATGGGAGAGAAGGGGTGCTTTTGGAGCCACATCCAGCAGGGTCTGTCTGAGGGGAGTATGAGTCAGCCTCTTACATCCCTCTCTCACCTGAGCTTGGCCAGTCGGTTCATGCACACAGCTGCCACTTGAGCCGAGTACTCGCGCATGAGCAGCGCAAACAGCCCCTGCTTGCTGCCGTTGCCTGCACGCACACACACACGCAACCGAGGAGGAAGCGTAAGGGAAGGTTAATGATGAGTGGACTCCAGAATTCTCAAAATCCAGCTAGTGACTAGTCTCTGGGGACTTCGATCCCTTTAAAAAAACATACACCTACCTGACTGACTGACTGCTTGCACTGCTCGAGCTCACCTAGAGTGGCCTTCCCCAGCTGCCCCGACAGCAACTCGCTGTTCCGAAAAAACACGAACCCATCGTTCACACAGAAGGGCCCGCCCTTCTTCGTGTAGGTCTTCTCGGGCACGCCGAGCGTGACAAACACGCGGTCGTGTGCGGAGGGGCGCACGAGCACGCCTATGAGCTGCTTGCCCGTCCACAGCTCCACTGGCTTGAGCAGCGCGGGCGTGGGGATGTCCACTTGCATGGCCCCGTCCGTCATGTAGGAACACAGCAGGCAGAAGGATGCGCGGTCGTAAAAGGTGTCCCTGGGTGGGGGCGAGGGGAAGGGGTGTGGTGCGGGGCAGAATGGAGGGACAGGGGAGGTTCAGAGACCTCATAACTAGATGCCAAGGAGGCGAAAAGGTGGTAAGGAAGTCAGAGGCGGAAAGGAGGAGGAATGGTGGCATTCGGTGTTAGTGCAGAGGCGTACCGGCGGGTGATGAGGAAGGCGGATGTGAGGAAGTCCTGCGTGGAGGCCACGAGGATCTCCCCGTTCTTGGGCGTGCACAGGTTGTTCTCCACCTGAGACAAGGATGACAGGAGGGGCGTGCAGAGGAGAGCGATAGGAAGTAGAGCAATGGAAATGTTTCAAGTTGAATCAGACACCACAAGAATCCTTTGGTTCTTGGGTGTGCACAGGATCTTCTCCACAGGATCTTCTCCACAGGATCTTCTCCACCTGGCCGATTAATGCGAGGGAGAGAGATGGAGAGAAAGGGATTTGAGAGCTGTCTGTAGTACTGCCTTTCGGAAATGTCAACATATCACAAGAGAACACCAAAACGCAACAGAATTGGATTAATGAACACCTCAAATCGTGTGGAAGCACACTGAATCGCATTGAACCGCCGCACATACCCCCATGAGCAGCAGAGCCTCGGTGCGAGCCTCCTCGGTCTGCGGCACATGCATGTTCATCTCATCCCCATCGAAATCCGCATTGTACGGATTGCACACACTCTCGTTGAAGCGTAGTGTCTTCCATGGCATCACCCTCGCCTGCGGGGATGAAAAGAAGGAACAGGAGGAATCAAGGAGAGGGGATAGAAGGAGGACAAGGACAGTGAATACATTTCAGAACGCAGCATAGATGATACAAGCTCATTTTATCGACTCAAACCGAATCACACGACATCTTATGACATCACAGCACCATTGACATGTGACATCACCCATGCATATCACCCATGCATATCACCCATGCATATCACCCATGCATATCACCCATGCATATCACCCATGCATATCACCCATGCATATCACCCATGCATATCACCCATGCATATCACCCATGCATATCACCCATGCATATCACCTATGCATATCACCCATGCATATCACCCATGCATATCACCCATGCATATCACCCATGCATATCACCTATGCATCACCGTACCCGATGGCACATGATGGACATGTGGTGCAGGCTGGGCTGCCGGTTGAACTGCACCTTGTCGCCATTCTCTAGATACCTCTCTGCCTGCCTGCCCTATCGAGCAACATCACATGCACCCCACCCATGCACCCCACCCATGCACCCCACCCATGCACCCCACCCATGCAGCAGCAGCACCCATGCACCCCACCCATGCAGCAGCACCACCCATGCTCAACCCTACCCTACCCGGTGGCACATGATGGACATGCGGTGCAGGCTGGGCTGCCTGTTGAACAGCACCATATCGCCGTCCTCCAGGTGCCTCTCCACTATGTCGCCGTACTTGAGCTCTGCTGCCACTCGCCTCCTATCTCCATACTTGAGAAACCTGGGATGAGGAGCATGGGTGGAGGTGTGTGGGTGATGGATGGGGCATGAGGATTTGAAGGAGGCACAATGAACAGCACCATATCGCCGTCCTCCAGATGCCTCTCCACTATGTCGCCGTACTTGAGCTCTGCTGCCACTCGCCTCCTATCTCCATACTTGAGAAACCTGGGATGAGGAGCATGGGTGGAGGTGTGTGGGTGATGGATGGGGCATGAGGATTTGAAGGAGGCACAATGAACAGCACCATATCGCCGTCCTCCAGATGCCTCTCCACTATGTCGCCGTACTTGAGCTCTGCTGCCACCCGCCTCCTGTCTCCATACTTGAGAAACCTGCAAAGGAGGTTGAGTTGAAGCATGGATACATGCACACGGTTTTGAGACGTCTCAAATATGCAGCATGGTGTAGCGCATCCAACTGCACAGCACCATGTCACCACCTTCCATGTGCCTCTCTACCCCGTACTTCCTTCAAATAAATCTACACACTATACAGTGATACTGTTATGTCATCCCTTGGTTCCTAGGTGCACGCACCACTTGTTGCCGTTGGGGTAGAGCACGAAGTTAGCGCCAGGGTACTTGGCAGTGCCGTTGATGACCAGCTGCCTCAGCTTGTGGATGTTGTGGCGACTCACCGCCTCGGGGAACGTCAGCAGCTGCGCCATGTGCATGGGCACTGCCACCTGGTGTGGTTCAAATCAAACGGCATGGGAGGAAGCAAGGGAAGGGGAGGGAGAGAAGTGGGTTGTAGCAAGACCTGTGGCGACTCACCACCCTTGGGGAACGTCAGCAGTTGCGACATGTGCATGGGTACTGTCACCTGGAGGAGGGATAGGTGGCAGGCATGATGGGCATGGAAGTGAGTAAAGGAGGGGAGAGGAGAGGAGTACCCACAAGCAAGACTAGTGCCTAGGCTCACCGCCTCGGGGAACGTCAGCAGCTGCGCCATGTCCATGGGCACTGCCACCTGGTGGCTCAGAGGGTCAAAGGGTCGTGGAATAGAGGGAACAGTACAGGTTGAAGGAGGGGTTGGGAGTGGCCGCCATATAACGCGGGCACTTATACTGCCCCTCTTCACACTGCTCCTCCAGGCTCCTCTCTATACACACCTCGGAGATTGTGAGGTTATGGGATTGTAGCCCTCACTCACGCTACTACCACTCCCCCCACACACACGGACCTCGGAGATCTTGAGGTTAGGGTCGGGGGAAATGACAGTGCGGCCACTGAAGTCCACTCGCTTGCCTGACAGGTTCTGTCGGAACCGCCCCTGCTTGCCCTTCAGCCGCTGCACAAACCCGCGAGTCGGCTTCGTGGGCTGCGCTGCTAGCGGCAGGCCGGGGAGCTCCGAGTTGATGTAGAGACCCACTTGGAGCTGCAAGAAATCCCAGTTCTCCTGTTTGCAAGTAGCATTTACATACAGACAGTTTATAGAGAGAGATGGGGAGAGGTGAGAAATGCATTAAGGCTTTGTGGGCTGCGCTGCCAGCGGCAGGACGGGGAGCTCTGAGTTGATGTAGGGCCCCAGTTGCAGTTGAAGGAAGTCCCAGTTCTCCTGTTTAGCATGGCAAACACATTCGCAAGGAGAGATGGGGGAAAAGTGAGTCAACTCAGAAGACTGCTAGCGGCAGCCTCGGGAGCTCCGAGTTGATGTAGAGTCCCACTTGGAGCTGGAGGAAGTCCCAGACCTCCTGTTGAACATACAATTTCGCAAAAAGAGGAAGTGAGGAAGTCAGGAAGTGAGCAATGGGGAGAAGTGAAGAAAGAATCAAGGCAGCATTCAGCCAGCTTCATCATCCCGACACCCTTCTTGCTCCCCGCTCCTGCATCCACCACTCCTGAACCGTAAACCCCGAACTTTTGAGGCGCCTCAAAAGTCGTCTCATGAACATGAGTCAGCTACTGCTGCAGCCCTTCGAACATGAGTCAAGGGGACACCCTTGTTGCTCCCCGCTTCTGCATCCACCACTCCTGAACCGCAAACCCCCAATCCACAACAACTTCAATCCCGAACCCCCGAAACCCCAGAACCCTGCACACTGACCACGAGGTTGGGCATGGGCAGGCCCTTCTGAATGCCCAATCTGAGCGCGCTGTTGACCTCGATGATCACCGCCAGCTTCATCGTCGCATCGTCCTCGTTGCTCCCCGCTGCCGACTCCATCACCACAGACGGCCGGATGGCCACCGGAGGGACAGAGAGGTGCGTCACAATGAGGCGCTCCGGGCGGTAGTAGAGGTCTAGAAGCTCACAGTCCTGGGTGGGGGGTGTAGGGGATGTGGGTGAGCAGAAGCACAGCAGAGCAGTGCTGAGACGAGCAGGGGAAAATTGCACGACTGACTCCATCAGCACGGATGGATGGATGGCCACCGGGGGCACGGACAGGTGCGTTACTATGAGGCGCTCGGCGCGATAGTAGAGGTCCAAGAGCTCGCAGTACTGGGTGGGAGAGGAGGCGGAGAGGGGAGGGAGGAGGAGGGAGGAGGGGGAAAAGAGGAGAAGTGAGGGGAAGGGGAGTAGAGCAGAGCAGGCAGGGGAAAATTGCACGACTGACTCCATCAGCACGGACGGTTGGATGGCCACTGGCGGCACGGAGAGGTGCGTTACTATGAGGCGCTCGGCGCGATAGTAGGAATCCAAGAGCTCGCAGGCCTGGGGTGGAATGGGGGGGAGTGGGGAGGGGGACAAAGACGGGTGGTGAGAGAAGTGGAGCAGTGATCGCAATGGTGAGTGGCAAGTCCCAATCACATGTAGAATCAACAGCCAGTCCGTACCTCATCCAGCATTCTCTCCAGCAGCCACAGCACCCTCACGGGGTTGAGGTCGTCCGCCACCTTGGTCGAGTGCTGGGCTATCTCCTTGTTCGCCTCCACCGCTGCCTCCATGCGCCGCACCACGTCGTCCTTGGCGTCCATGTCTTTCCCATACTTGTCATGGGATAGCTTTAAGGTCCCAGTCAGTTTCTTCACTGTGCCTGCAAGGCGTAGCATTCATAGGGGTTTCATGGTTCACAGCTTATGGTACAGCACTTGAGGTGTAGGTGTGTGTTCGCCTCCACGGCGGCCTCTGCACCTCGTCACCTCATCCTTGGCATCCATGTCTTTCCCATACTTGTCATGGGATAGCTTCAGCGTGCCAGTCAGTTTCTTCACAGCGCCTGCTATGCAATGCATGATGGGGTTCAAGGTTAAGGGTTTCGGGGTTGGGCTGACTCGCCTCCTAAGATGCCACTGTGCAGTGCACTACCAGCCGGCTCCTGAGACAGTGGCGTCTGAGGAGCCAGCTGGTGGCGCAAAAGTTGTGTTATTCAGGAACCTTTTGAGAAGTCTCAATAGTTGTGCAGACACACGCATGGTCTTACTTACCATTGTGGTCCCCGCAGTAGTGGCACATCCTGGTGCGCTTGCACCGCTCTGAAACGCGCTTCACCATGGCCTTCTTCTGCAGCACCTCCACCCGCGGGTGCCGGAACTTCTTCAGCCACTGCCGCCGCTCCTCATCGCTCAGAAGAATGCGGCCACAGTTCTGCATGCGGTGAAGTGCGGTGGGATGAGGTGTAGTGTGGTGCCATGGTAAGGGTTAGGATTACTTCAAAATCGGGCAATGCAGGAGGGGATGCGAAAGAGGGGCAGCAAAGGACGGGAAGGTGATGATGCCACGACATGTCATTGCATGATGAGCGGGATGACTTTGAAGTACCCCATATGATATACCGGCTCGGCAGCCCCAGGCGAACGTATCCAAAGTGCCCCGCACAGCCCTCGTGTTGTTGCTGCTGCTGCTGCATTACCAAGTCCCTCCCAGGTACCAAGTACCAACATAACAATCACCTACCTTGCAGATGCATTGCATGATGAGCAGGATGACTTTGAAGTACCCCATGTGGTACACCGGCAGCTCAAGGCGGATGTACCCAAAGTGCCCCGCACAGTCCTGCAGCGTGCCGTTGCACGTGGTGCACTCGCCCTTCTTGCTCGTCGTCCCCTGTGCGTGATTGGGATGGGTACAAGAGAAGGGAAGGGAGGATGTGTTTTGGGGAGTCAATAGCTCGGTGAAGCGATCCAAAGTGCCCCGCACAGTCCTGCAGCGTGCCGTTGAGGTGGTTTTTGAGAATTCTCAAAAACCACAACGCACATTCCTGTAGCGTGCCGTTGCATGTGGTGCACTCGCCCTTCTTGCTCGTCGTCCCCTGTGCGTGGGTGGCAACAAAGAACAAAAACAGTCAAAGAGAAGAATGATTAGTGGCAAAGGACGAACCAGCCTCTCATCTCAACGCATCGGTTTTCAAAGGAAATTCCTGGCAGCTGAAGAAATCTCGCCAACCTTGGATCAATGAAGCACAGCACACTCACAAGCCTTAAAGCACTCAGTCACCAGGTGTGGGTCAATCAAGCACAGCACACTCACAAGCCTTAAAGCACTCAGTCACCAGGTGTGGGTCAATCAAGCACAGCACACTCACAAGCCTTAAAGCACTCAGTCACCAGGTGTGGGTCAATCAAGCACAGCACACTCACAAGCCTTAAAGCACTCAGTCACCAGGTGTGGGTCAATCAAGCACAGCACACTCACAAGCCTTAAAGCACTCAGTCACCAGGTGTGGGTCAATCAAGCACAGCACACTCACAAGCCTTAAAGCACTCAGTCACCAGGTGTGGGTCAATCAAGCACAGCACACTCACAAGCCTTAAAGCACTCAGTCACCAGGTGTGGGTCAATCAAGCACAGCACACTCACAAGCCTTAAAGCACTCAGTCACCAGGTGTGGGTCAATCAAGCACAGCACACTCACAAGCCTTAAAGCACTCAGTCACCAGGTGTGGGTCAATCAAGCACAGCACACTCACAAGCCTTAAAGCACTCAGTCACCAGGTGTGGGTCAATCAAGCACAGCACACTCACAAGCCTTAAAGCACTCAGTCAACAGGTGTGGGTCAATCAAGCACAGCACACTCACAAGCCTTAAAGCACTCAGTCACCAGGTGTGGGTCAATCAAGCACAGCACACTCACAAGCCTTAAAACACTCAGTCACCAGGTGTGGGTCAATCAAGCACAGCACACTCACAAGCCTTAAAGCACTCAGTCACCAGGTGTGGGTCAATCAAGCACAGCACGCTCACTCACCAAGCGGGGGTCCAGCACGCCAAAGGGTGTGGGCTTGCGCTCCGGCAGCTGGTACAGACTCCTCTCCGATACCTGCACCTCCGCGCTCTTCATTATCTCGTGCGCACTCATCGTGCTGAACCGCACACTCTTACTGCAGGGGGTAGGGAGGGGGGAGGAGGACGGAGGGTGGATTTAAGGAAGGGGATTGCATCGAACCGGCAGGCCCTCTCCTCGTTATCTCGTGCGCACTCACCGTACTGAACCGCACACTTTTGCTGATGAAGATTAAGGTGGAAGGCGAGGGAGGGTGGAATTAGGAATAGAGGGGGTTGGACACAGACGGGAAAGTTTCTGCTTACGGAGATCTGATATTCCCCTCCTCATGCACCCTTCCACCCACCCATCCCTCCACTCACATCTTGCACGGTCGTTTGTCTTCCATCACCGGTTCCTTAGTGAACGTGATCGCAGTAGGCGCAATTGTGTGCCTTTCCGCTGTTCGCCCACTATTCGCCAACTCTTCGCCCTCCCTTCCCTCCCCCACTCACATCTTGCGCGGTCGTTTGTCTTCCATCACGGGCTCCTTAGTGAACGTGATTGCAGCGGGCGCGGGATCCGTTCCGCCTGCCTGTTGCGGTCCGCCTCCCCTTCCTCCTCCCCCTCCCCCGCGCCCTCCCCCCGCTTGCAACGGTGGGCCGCGCCCTCCCCCGCGCCCGGCCCCTCCCTGCTGCGCCATCTCCGCTTCCCTTTCTCGTCGCCCCTCTTCCCCTTCCTCTCCTCCCCAGCCCCTTCTCCTCCCCCCTCGTGCGCCTCCTGTTTCTCCCCTTTTCAGCCTCGCCTCGATCGAGTCTCTTCCTCCTACCCCTTCCTGTCCTCCACTTCCCCTCTTTCGCTTTCTCGTTCCTTAATCGCGTTCCTAATCGACTCTAAGGGCCGTCTAAGCGTCAAATGTGCCTTTTACAGCGCCTCGGAATTGCTTCGAGAACGCCACGTGACTCTCGCGAGGTAGAGAGAGAAAAAAAAAATCTCTCGAAGTAGCGTGAAGCACACGCAACTGTAAGAGCGACGAACCCAGCTACCAGAAAGATCTGAAGCACGGTTCAGGCGCGCAGGGTAAGGATGGCATCTTCAGCTTGTGACAGTGCCTTCTGCGATTCGCTGAACCGTCGTCAGCTGCTTGCGATCGCGCGCGTTCTAGCAACAGGTAAATGCGGTGGAGTGGCGGATGACGGTGGAGCTTATTTGGTTGGACCAACTCACGGTGAGAAAGAGCACTGATGCTTTGTACCCGCTAACGACTCAGATTGCTCGCGTAACAGTTTGACTTCACTTTCACGTTCACTGTGTATGGTTATGTAAAGCATGCGAGTGCTCGACCTCAATTCACGCAAATACGAGCGCGGTTCTATATCGAGGATTCTTTGATGGATGAGGGCAACGAACACCCTTGGCAGAGTGCAGGCAATTGCATTCGAAGCTGCAATCCAGCAGTGAGAACGACTGCTCCGTGTCGGGCCAGCGCGATGTCAACGAGGCAGACAGAACCAAACATTCTCACGTCAGGCTTCCACCAACCAGATGCCGAAAACCGTCGCACGAGCGCCAATAGCACAGCAGCACGCAATCTGACACGAACCTGTCTGTGAAATGGTCCCCACCCCTCGCGGGCTCGGGTATTTGCCGTCGCGTTTTCCGTCAAACTCTGTCTGTTCCCTGTTCTCTTGGTAGTGCCATGCATCCACTTCCCTTCAGCCTTACCTTCCACCCACTGCTCCACCTCCATCCCTCCGGTTGCCCTTCCATTTGTATTCCCCACAGCACGTTTTGCTGTTTTTTCGGCGACAATCCAGGCGAGAACCACACGCCTTGTTGATTCTATCCACTACATTTCAATATCTATCTTCCACGATGGCGAGAGAAATCTGAATCGAATGCGTTATCGTTTCACTATGACTTCCTCTCCTCTGCTTCAACTCGCATCACAGCCCAGCCCGCTCCCGCTCGCGTACGACGTCCGTCCGACCTCCCTGCGAGGAGGAAACGACTTCTGGGCTTTTTTTCAGCAGCGGCAGGACAAGCTGGAAGAAACGACTCGCCAGAGTTTCTCCGACCAATCAGAGGCATCCACGTGTTCCGAGCTGCGCGAGAATCCCGAGGGTCCGAAGGCGATTGAGGACCCTAGGTTAGACGAGGACGGTCAAGTGGACGATGTCAGAAACAGTGACGGAGGAGTAACGGTAGTTAAGACTTCTTCTAGTTCCTCCAATTCAGTTAGTCTGCAGGGATTTCTGCAGCAGCAATTGTCGTTACCGAAGCGGAGACCGTTAGGCCCGCCAGTGCAGAGCTCGTATCTGTCAAAGCGCGAAGATGATAAAGGCAGAAAGCCGTTGTTTTCCTTTGGGGTCATCACCGATGTTCAGTACGTCGCGCATACCCTATTCCTTCCCAGCTTCTCTCCCTTCTCATTGTCACGGATGCCTAAAAGCTCACGAATATGTGTTTCCGCTCAGATTCAGGGCACGACATTGTCCGTCCGTGATTCAGAGACGCTAGTTGTGACCACTTACGTCGTACCCCACGGCACGGGCGAACTCTCACTCATGCGTGCCTATAACGAGCTGTTTCTTGTCTTGCAGATACGCCGATATCAACGACGGCCAATCCTTCCTCGGCATCCCGAGGTTTTACCGCCACAGCCTCGAAGGTACCCGACACAGCGCTTCAACCCGCTGCACCCTAGCTGCCGCTTCAGACAATGCGTCAGCCCGTCTTCGAACATTGCTTCTCATCGTGTTACATTGCATCAACTCTTCTGTCTGCACCCCTGTTCCGTCTTGTCCGTTGTCCCTGTGGACACAATTTCTTGCATGAAGGCTCAATTATGCGTTTCCGTCTTGTTCTCCTCCCTCGCTGTTCATCACAGCGCTTTTAAAGTCGTCGTCCGATCATGTCCCATTGCGGTGGCCACTCTCCCTCGTCGCCCGCTCTTCCTTTTTGTGCCTTTCCATGTGTTTCCCCACCCCGCTCGTCCCGACCCTCCTCTCCCCTACCCCGCTTTCCCCTATCCCCATCTTCCACACCCCGCTTTCCCCTACCCTAAATTTTCCCATCCCGCATCCCCCTACCCCGTTTTCCCCTACCCTCCTTCCCCCTACCGCCCTTCCCCTCACCAGTGGTAAAGAAGGCGGTGGAGGATTGGAACCAATCAACGCCGCCGATGTCGTTTGCTGTTCATTTTGGCGATATTGTGGATGGCTTTTGCCCCAGGGACAGATCCGAGGAAGCTGTTAACACAGTGAGTTGAGCATGTCTATCAGCACTGGATTGCTGGCACGATGGCAATTTCTCTATCCCATCTCACTACACTCCCACCCCATATCACTACCTTCTCCCCACCCCATCTCGCTCTTCTATCCCCGCCTAATCTTAACACCCCCTGCCCCCACCCCATCTCATTACGCTATTCCCACCTCTTCTGACTGCCCTTACCTTCCCCATTTGCCAATTTCAGGTTCTGGATGCATTGGCTGGGTTCACAGCCGGGCCCACATACCACATGATCGGTACGCCAGCACCCACACTGCCAGGCAATAGTTGGTCAACCCTCCTGTCCGTCAGGCATGCTTCGTCTTTGTCTGCATTGACCACATTGTTTCAATGAATTGGCCGGGTTAACAGCCACGCCCACTTAACCAGCCTCCTTGTACTCCCCTCCCTCTGGTAGCCTTCCTCCATCCATTCATCCTGCCGAATTCTTGTTCATGCCACCCCACCGCACTGCACCGCAGGCAACCACTGCTTGTACAATCTGCCTCGCGTGACTCTCAATAAGATGCTCGCCATCCCCACCGCCGCTGACAACTGCTCTTACTATGACTTCTCGCCCTTCCCTAACTTTAGGTATTCTCGCCCTTTCCTAAACTCATGTGCCGGCTCCCATCTCTTTTTGAGGCGCCTCAAAAAGCTCCCATCTCTGACGTTTCCTAAATTCATGTGCCCGTTTCTCGCACGCATTCTTCCATGATCCTCCAGCACCCTTTTGAGGCGCCTCAAAAGTTCTTCCATGATCCTCCACCACCCCGTCTTTGCTTCCCCGATCTGCGCCTCTATCTGCGCCCTTCTCTGCGCCCCTCTCTGTGCCCCTCTAAGCACCTCCTCTGTGCCCACTCTGCGCCCTTCCTTTTTCGTCCCTCTCTACGCCCCTATTTGCGCCCCTATTTGCGCCCACTTCCTTGGGCCCACTTCCTTGGTCCCTCTCCACTGTTTTGCATACGAAACAGTTCTTTATTTCCCTTCTGCACGCTCGTCCCACCCCCCTCCCTGCGTCCAGGTTCGTACTTATGAATCCGTATGACGTGAGTCAGCTGGGTGGCCTGAGGACCATCCGCGCCTGTCCGCTCAAACCCCCCACACCTCCTCCCACCCATCTCCCCTCCCTGCGTCCAGGTTCGTTGTGTTGGATTCGTACGATGTGAGTTTGCTGGGGTGGCCTGAGGACCATCCACACGCTGTGAGGGCAAAGGAAGTGTTGGAAAGGGAGAACCCCAACGAGGAGAAGAACAGCCCTGAGGGGCTCGAAGGTCTCAACAGGTGAGAGTCCGAAGGGAGGCAATATGTGGGTCCATTGCGGGTTCAGTGAGCGGAGGTCGAGGGAGGTGTTGGAGCGGGAAAACTTGAACGAGGAGGAGAACAGCCCTGAAGGGCTCGAAGGGTCGAACAGGTGAGAGTCTGAAGGTAAGGGAGACATCGCAGGGATTTTTTTAGAGTTCTCTGATTTTTTAAGGGATTTTTTTAGAGTTCTCTGATATTTATTGGAATTTTTTTAGAGTTCTCAAAATATTCCTGAAGGTAAGGGAGGCATCGAGGAGGCAGTGCAATGTCTCATGAGGGTGAGAGGTGCTGGAGAGAGAAAACCCCAACGAGGACAAGGATAGTCCTGTAGAGTTTCTCAACAGGAGAGTGAAAGGAAGTGAGGGGGGTGTGGGTCGATTCACAGGGGATTGCACTGCACTGCACCCACACCACCCTCCCCAGTGAGAGATGCTCTCATCATGCCGCTTATTTGTGGGCCTCACTTGCTGCTCTGCCACTGCTCCGTCTCTGTGTGCCCATGCCCACAGGCGGTTTGTGAAGTTCAACGGAGGGGTGGGGGAGGAGCAGCTCAGATGGCTGGAAGGCGTGCTATCAGTAGGCCCTCCAACCCCTGCTTTCTCTCCTTGGGCTCGCACTTCATCCTTTCTTCCTTTCGGGGCATTTTGGCATATCTTTTGAGGCCCATAATGGACATCTCTCCTTATTTGAACATTGAACCCTTCGGAGCTGCCCATGCTTAACTCATCCTGCTGTACGGTCCAATTCCCATCGCCAGGAGTGCGACGCCCTGGGGGAAACGGTGGTGCTATGCTGCCACCAGCCCATTGAGCCCACGGCTCTGCCCACTGCCACCTGCCTTGTCTGGAACTATGATGAGGTGAGCGTGGGCCTTAGGAGCATGTCGAGGTAGGTATCTTGGGACTATAACCATGCCAGCTTGTTTTACCAACTGCCTGTACGCGTTCCTCCTCGCCCCCATTTGCACACACCCCGATCCCTCTCACCTGCGCATACCTCTCCCTCCTCTCCCTTCCCTCCCTTCCCGTCCGCTCCACTACTCCCCATCAGGTCCTAGCGACCATCCACAGGCACGAGTGTGTGGCAGCAGTGATGGCCGGGCACGCGCACTTCGGAGCATACGCCCTCGACACCAGAGGCATCCACCACCGCATTCTGGAAGGCGCTGTGGAGTGTTCCCCCGGCACGGTGGCCTTTGGCCATGTGGATGTGTATCCGGACCGGCTCTGCATCATTGGCAAGGACCGCATGCTTTGCACTGACATGAAGTTCCCCTCTCGAGCCAGCCACTCCGCTCTGTAGCCGCTGCCTTCCCGCTCTCGCCAGCACACCCGCCTCAATTCCCCCTCTCTCGCCAAACTGTATCAGGATCGCCTGTGCATCATTGGCAGGGACCGCATGCTCTGCACTGAAATGAAGTTCTCGTGCAGGGCTGGTAACAACGCTGACTTGTAGCATCTGCCCCCTTCATCTCGCCACCGCACCCCTCTCTAGCTCCCTACCGCCTGTGCATCATTGGCAGGGACCGCATGCTCTGCACTGAGGGTACATTCCTGTGTGGACCAATCCTTCTGTGACGCGTGAAAACAGCATAAAACGTCTTGTGTTACAAACGCATGTTGTGCTAGTGTGATTTTTACTACGGTGCATTTTACATTGGTCAGCGTGTAATGCGCTAGTGTCGCAGACGAGTTCAACGAGGCATGACATCCGAGAAGTCGCACGCATGTCGAAATGTAAAGCATTTGGCCGGCCCAACCGCATGCATCGGGATGCCCGACGCGGTGCCAGATTTGGGGGGGAAACAAACCGCTCAGTTCGGGCAGCCAAGAGAGTGGTACCCACGCCCCACTTACGCGCATGCCTGCTCGCCGAACCCACTCACCGTCTTGACCCTTCTGTTGGATGCGGGGATGCGGGGATGCGGGGATGTGAACCCGAGTCCTTTCTTTCTGGTAGAGCTTGTTACAACTAACTGGGCTACAGAAACATTCCTCAAGCTATTCATTTGACAACTCAGAATGTTGGTGCATTTTCTATATTGGAGCTGGTCTAGAAGGACCGCACACTTGCCGCTATAGAATCCAATCCCACTTCCCCAGGCTGGCTTTACAACAAAAGAACAGTTTCACAATGATTTGGAACAAGAAATGTTTACACAAATGCTTGTACATTCAGGATACGGACCGCAGTGGCTGCTGAATCTTCCTCAGCACACCACCACCGCTCCGCCAGGAGTGCCCCCCCTATGCAGTCACAGTTGAGCTTCAGTAAATGATTTATTTCCCATACAGGATTCCTCTCCCTCTGTGTCGGTGACTGTGCTGGGAAGCCAGGAAGAAGGCCCGCAGAGGCTGCTGAACCTAGCCCGCCCCTTAGCTCCCCCAGATGCACTCGCCTCACCGACCCGCCCCTCACACACCACACACTCCGCTCTCACCACACACAGGGCTGCAGGCAGCAACGCACACTCCCCGCAGTGATCGGCTGTGATAAGCTAGCTATTAGGAAGATGATTATCCATACAGGATGCCTCTCCGCCGGTGTCTGTGCTTGACAGAGTCAGCCAGGAAGAAGGACCGCAGCGGCTGCTGAATCCTCCTCAGCACGCCCCTCAGCTCCCCCAGATGCACGGCCGTCACCGACCGGTCCCTCACACACGCCAGGCACTCCGGTTTCCCCGCACACAGGGCCTCAGGCAGCAGCGCATACTGCCCTCGCGCCATGCAGTCTGTGGTGTATGTGGTGTTGAGAGGGTGTGCGTTGTGCCAGCTGTAGTAGTGGACTCGAGAGGCGACGGCGAGGGAGGAGTGGTGGGGGGAGTGGAGGTGCGGCGGGAAGAGCTCGAGGAGCGTGGCGTTGGGCGGGAGGAAGAGGGTGTTGGCGAGGGATGGGCCGTGCATGGCAATTAGTAGAGCCGTACGCTGCAGAGAGAGTGAGAGGAGAGGGGAAAGATAGAATATAAAGAAAGTGAGCGCCCATGAGACAATGAGAGCTTGTTGGAATGAGTGGGGCAGAGCAGGTGGGACTAAACAGAGGAGGTGGGATTGAGGCAGAGGAGGGGCGAGTGGGGCAGCGGAGATGCGAGTGCGGCAGCGGAGGGGCGAGTGGGGCAGCGGAGGGGCGAGTGGGGCAGCGGAGGGGCGAGTGGGGCAGCGGAGGGGCGAGTGGGGCAGCGGAGGGGCGAGTGGGGCAGCGGAGGGGCGAGTGGGGCAGCGGAGGGGCGAGTGGGGCAGAGGAGGGGCGAGTGGGGCAGCGGAGGGGCGAGTGGGGCAGAGGAGGGGCGAGTGGGGCAGCGGAGGGGCGAGTGGGGCAGCGGAGCGGCGAGTGGGGCAGCGGAGGGGCGAGTGGGGCAGCGGAGGGGCGAGTGGGGCAGCGGAGGGGCGAGTGGGGCAGAGGAGGGGCGGGTGGGGCAGCAGAGGGGCGAGTGGGGCAGCGGAGGGGCGAGTGGGGCAGCGGAGGGGCGAGTGGGGCAGCGGAGGGGCGAGTGGGGCAGCGGAGGGGCGAGTGGGGCAGCGGAGGGGCGAGTGGGGCAGCGGAGGGGCAAGTGGGGCAGCGGAGGGGCAAGTGGGGCAGCGGAGGGGCGAGCGGGGCAGCGGAGCGGCGAGTGGGGCAGCGGAGGAGCGAGTGGGGCAGAGGAGGGGCGAGTGGGGCAGCGGAGGGGCGAGTGGGGCAGCGGAGGGGCGAGTGGGGCAGCGGAGGGGCGAGTGGGGCAGCGGAGGGGCGAGTGGGGCAGAGGAGGAGCAGGTGGGGCATGGGAAAGAGAGAGAAGGCTCACCTTCATGATGGCGACTTGCTCAATGAAGGAGCGATTGGACAGCATCACAACATCCACAGTGAGCTTGGGCATCATGGCTCGCACCAGCTCTGCCACACCCTCCGCATTCGCCATCCCTGCATCCCTCTCCCCTTCATCCTCCTCGTTTCCATCCCCATCTGCATCCCCTTCCCTCTCCCCATCTCTCCCTGTCTTCCTCTCCCCTTCCTTTATCCCTCCTCCTTGCCCATCACTGGCCAGCACAGTCACATGGTGGAACCTTCCTGTCCGCTTCCTCATCTCCTTAAAGAACGTCTTTAATCTCTTCACGTCCCCGTTCAGTTCTATCTGTGCCTGGGCCTGCAGTGTCCTGGCCGCTCCTAGCTTCCTACCCCCCCATAGCCTTTTCGACACCAGTGATTCTACATCATCCACCATCTCCCATGCTCTCTCCCTCATTGCCTCCACAGCCCAGGCGCTCCTCGTTTTCTGCTCCCTGCCCGGGATGAAAACGGCGTTTTGGAAACATTTCACCTGCCCGACGAGCCTGCCGGGAAGGGCGAGGGCTTGAGGCCCGAGAAGAAGCCGGGTTGCGCCGCCCACCCAGAGGCTAGGAGGGCGGGCAGCGGAGGGGAGGAAAAGATGGGGCCATGTTGAGGATTCTGTATCTTCAGGAGCACTTGCGGTGGTACCAGTAGCAGCAGCAACATCAGCACCAGCAGTACCAGCAGAAGTGGAAGCCGAATCAACAGAGCTCGATACACTATCTTGCAAGCCCTTTATTTTGATTGAACCAGCCATGTGGTAAGAATGTTGGCGGGGGGAGCTAGGCAAGGAAATGGTCGGCAGGTGGAGTGCCACGTCATACAGCGCATCTGCCAGGTCAGCGAACTCACTCTGCCGCCCGGCCGAAGGCAGGACGACGGCCAAGGGGAGGGCGGGTGGCGGAGAGAGGGCAGATGAGCGGAAGACTTGCTTTCCTTGCGAGGCACTAGAGGCAGCATAGAAAGCCATTTCGTCCCCACTCAGAAACCCCCCTATCTTCTCATAAAGCGCTTCAGCAATGGAATCAACGTCTGCAACTTCACTGTTGCTGCTGCTGCTGCTCCTATCACCACCAGTCCCACTCCCACCAGTAATACTCATACTCGAGTCTTCCCCATGTGCATCCCCACCTGCACCAGCACCTGCACCCCCATCTTCCGCAGCAGAACACTGGTGCATGAGACCCAGGTTGACCTTGGACAGGTCAGAGGCAGCGTGTATGGCCTGCCCGCCTAAGTCCCCTGCCAGGGCACTCTCTAGTGCCTCGCGGTCGAACCACACGCCCGCGCTGCTGCGGTGCAGGCGACTGGCGCCCTGCATGTGCACGTAGCACACGTCCCTCAGGAGGAGCGAGCAGCGGGGAGAGGGGTGGGGAACTCTGGTGCTGCTGCTGCTGCCGCTGCTGGTGGCGGTGGTGGAGGTGGGATCTAGTGACGGGTCCGTGGAGGCCTCTTGAAGATGAACGGAGGAAGACGAGGAAGAGGAGGAGGAGGATGAGGATGAGGGTGTGGGTGTGGGGATTGTGAGTCGTGTCTGTAGGATGTATGCTCCTGGGACGTCTGGGTACGGGGTGACATGAACGCCTGGTGACCGGGCAAGTCTGGAAAGGAAGAAAGCAGCAGAGGCTGCTGAGGCTGTGAGACCTGTTGATGAATGGGTGTCATCCGCGGGCCTTACATCTTTGCTCCCACTATTCTCATCATCAATCCCATAACTCCCATCATTTCCACCATTCCCACCATTCCCATCCTTATTCCCATCATTTTGTACGGGCATGTCTGGTCCGTCCTCTAGGCCCTCTTCTTCCTCTCCTCCTTGCCTCTCCTGATACCCCTCCTCAGACTGACGCCCGTCTTGCTGCTGCTGCAAAAGAGTTTGTCTGCTGCTGCTGTGTGCAGAGTGGTGGAAACCGGTGGAGTGGGGTTGGTGGAGGGACCGGAGGGATGCTGCGTGGCGAGTGTGGTTAATATTTGACCTGAGATGAACAGCAGGTGCAGTGGGTATGAAAGCGATGAGAGAGTTGGGAGGGCATGAGGGTGATGAGAGAGGATGAGGGAACATGAGAAGATGAGAGTGATGAGAGTGATGAGAGGGGATGAGGGCGGTGTGAGAGGTGGGAGAGGATGTGGGCGATGTGGATGATGAGAGGGGGTTGTGGGCATTGAGAGAGGTGGGAGGGGAGGGGATGAGGTGAGGGAACATGTGTTGCAGTTACACATACGCTACAGTAAGGAAGCAGGTTGATCTTAGAGATACGTTATTTTAGGTTGCACTCACAGGTCATAGGTTACAAGAGCGGCAGCAGCATGGCTGAGAGGGTGTGCGTGGCAGTCGTGGAAGAGGGGGATGCAGGCACCAGAGAGGAGGCAATCGATGAGGAGCAGAGAGAAGAGGCCGTTCACTGCTGCCACCACTGCACCACACATGAAAGGGTGGGACGGGAAGGAAGATACGAGAGAACGAATGAGAGGGTGGGCATGGCAGTCGTGGAAGAGGGGGATGCAGGCACCAGAGAGGAGGCAATCGATGAGGAGCAGAGAGAAGAGGCCGTTCACTGCTGCCACCACTGCACCACACATGAAAGGGTGGGACGGGAAGGAAGATACGAGAGAACGAATGAGAGGGTGGGCATGGCAGTCGTGGAAGAGGGGGATGCAGGCGCCGGAGAGGAGGGAATCGATGAGGAGCAGAGAGAAGAGGCCGTTCACTGCTGCCACCACTGCACCACACATGAAAGGGTGGGACGGGAAGGGGGATATGAGAAAACGGATGAGAGCGTGCGTGGCATGAGGGATGGAAGGGAAAACGAGAGGAGGGACTTGAGGAGAGGGACGGGGGAGGCGAGGGGAGAGAAAAAAAGGGATTGCTTGTCTAGATTGTGTGTGTGTGTGTGTGTGTGTGTGTGTGTGTGTGTGTGTGTGTGTGTGTGTGTGTGTGTGTGTGTGTGTGTGCGCGTGTGTGTGCGTGTGTGTGTGTGTGTGCGTGTGTGTGTGTGTGTGTGTGTGTGTGCATGTAGCGGAAAGACATGGCTGAAGCCACTCCATGCACTCATGAATGAATGCTGCATTGGCCAAAACTGCATCCATGCACAGACGCACCAGCAACCAGCGCCACTCAATATGAATGCTGCATTAATGCATCCATGCACCAGACGCACCAGCCATGAAAGCCACGAAGTGTCGATACTTCTTCACCCGCCGCCACAAATTCACCCCCGCTACCCCCCCTTCCACTCCCGCTCCCACCCCTCCTCCCACCCCCATCCCCGCGCCTCCCCCATCCCCCGCAGACGCCCCCGTTGCGCCCACTGCGCTCCCCGCCGCAGATCCGCCCGCCGCCTTGCCATAGTTGCCCGGCCAGCCGACGTACTTAAACTCCTCGGAGAGATTAAACGTCTCCTCGGCCACCGTGCCCCACCAAGCGTCGAGCGCGCGCGCGTACCGCGAGAGAGAGGAGAGGAGGAGGGCGAGGTGGGAGGAAAGAGAGGAGGTGAGGGAGGAGGGGAAGGAGGAGGAAAGGTAGGCGGGGAAGGGGGAGGGTCGGTGGGGAGGCGAGCGGGAAATGAGGTGTTGAACTTTCTTAGGGTCCCAAGATTCCATAGGCCCTGTCGGCCATTGCTCCTCGATCCCATCGACTTGCTTCATCTTCCTGTTGTCGCCAACCTGGGGCCCTGCTTCTATATAAGCACCTCGGTCGTCCATGGCGGATTCGTGCAGATCGCTCTCGTGGTACGCTCTCCCCCGCTGCTCCGCTATAATAGAGGGCCGTCCTTCCTGAAGCAATATCTCGCTATTGTCACGCGCGCTTCCAATTTCACTCCCAATTTCTTTGTGCAGAGGATTTGATTCGAGCACCCTTTCGTTGGAGCTCGGCTCGCCGGTCGCGATCAGTTCAATAGCATCGCGAAGACTGTCCCGTGCTGAAGAAATTGTTCCGCTATAATTATCATCGTGAAGGATAGAGGCGCTTGCATCCGGATCGTGACGGCGGGCTTCCAAACGCTGAACATCGATATTGGTTGATTCGAAAAGCGAATAAGCGGGGTCAGAACCGAGGCCACGGTTGATCGCACCTTCTGTTCGCTTTCCATCCCCCCCGCATTGATCACTCCCCCCACCGCTGTAACTTTCCCTCGTTATAGGAACACCAAAGGTATCTCCAGCGAGGGTCGCACACGGAACCCCGGTAGCGACAGGTTCGTTAAGAAAAGGTTCGCGAAGATTCTTCGCGGACGAGCCTCGCCTGGCCAATCCGGAAGCGGATGCTCCCGCTGGTGCGGTTAACACGGAGACCTCATTATTTTCTTGATGAAATTCTGCCGATAAACTCCTCCTACTGGACAATTCTTTAGGCGCCTCAAAAGTCTGACCTTGACGCGGCTCCGCCGTTAAACTGCTACTGAACGCGACGAATGCGGACGCGGAGGTATGAGAAACTGGCTTTGGCGGTAGAGGTGGGCTAGTCTGATCGGCAACGCGGGACTCCATGACTGGATCAGCGGAGATATGCGACGAACATTGGTAAGTAAGTTGCCTGAAATGCCTCCAACGTTCGACGCCCCGTAAGGACGTCGCCTGGTGGTTCACAATGGAAAAGTGAATGAAACCAACAGGCCAACTACTAAACTCGAAAACGAGAAAAATGGCTACAACAAGGTGGTGTGGATGGTGATGGTGATGAATGAAGATGATGTGAGCGATGGTGTGATGGTGGTGCTGCGGCTGGTGATGGTGGTGATTGGCTGTTGTGAGCTTTTTGTCGAGTCTGCAAAAAGCGAAATAAAGCGGGACCTGGGAAGCATCTCGGGATTTTCCTCGAGATTGCCGAGGTGGTGAAACCTTGACTGGGGGATGACGGTGCGGTTGGTGGGGAGTGTTCGCCCTTGACTACGCTATGGCACGGGACTCATTTTGCAGCGTGACAAAGAAATGGTGTACGTCCTAAAGTGGTTAGGTGTGGTTCGGTCGTAGTCGTGGAATTGACGTTGCAAGTGATGATGATTGGGGCTGCCACTCCCGTGTATTTTTTGGACCTTTGTCCCTTGCGAGGTCGCAATTCGTCCCTTGTTGTGAGCGAACCTTGGGGTTCAGAATCCCCAAGAATGAGAAGTGAATCCGTCCTTGACATGGCTGCTGTACGATGAGTGAGAGTTGACAACTGGCGGTTGACTGGTGCATGGCGGTGGGTGCATAGAAAATTATACAGTATGAGATGCACTCAGTACAGAATAGGAGACAAGGATTTAACATGTGCTACGTATCATAAGCGGTGGCATGAGGGTCATATGGAAGATGAATCAAATGACATTTGACATAACACACTTGACAATCCAAGGCAGAAAGTGGCGCAAAAACATACTGTGTTTCAGGTTTCCGAAGGTACATAGGAAGGGATTAGCCGCTTGAGTTGGTCAATGTACACTTTCTCAAGATTCCCTATTGCCTTGCCCCATCCGTTCCCTAAACACTTCATCCAAACTGTCAAGTGACGGTGTATCAGAGTCAATCTGCTCCCCCATCGCCCTTTGACCATCACTGGAGCCTCTACTCCTCCCCCCCCAGCTTCTATTCCTGCCTCTCAATCCACGTCCCGCCCTTCCACCATCTCTCCCACTCCCTTGCGACCTGCTCATGTCCTCGCTACTAGCCGCTTCCCTATTGGTACTATCACTCATGTCGTCCGATCTTGACCGTCCATCTCCAAATGAGACGTTCTGCCAGCCGCTCCCAGAAGGCACCTCCCTCAGGCAACCCTGATCAGAAGACCTCCCCTCAATTTCATCGCTCCCCACCCTCTCCTCCCTCCCATCCCTTTCTTCCAATTCACCCGCTTCCCCAGTCAGTTCCCGTGCCTGACCCCGTGCTTCGGCCCGAGCCTCGTCAGTTTCGTGTGCAGCAGCTGCTGTCACCTCCCCCTCTCTAGACTGCTGCTGGACTGATTGCTGCTGGGTTGACTGCTGCTGAAATGGCCCCCCACCACTTCCAGGCACCACTCCCTCCCCACTGCCTGACTCCCTCTGCTGCTGCGAATGCTGCTGCTGCTGCTGCTGCTGCTGCTGCTGCTGCTGCTGCTGCTGCTGCTGCTGCTGCTGCTGCAGATTGTGCTGTTGCTGTGGCTGGTGGTGCTGCTGCTGCGGCTGCTGTCTGTGCTGTCTGCTGCTCTGGGCACTGGACTCTCCCCAGCGGGGCACCGACTGCCCTTGCCTGGCCACTCCTCTTCTTCCCTCCTGTCCCTCCTCCCCCTCCTCTCGCCCCTGCTCCAGCTCCTCATTCCCCTCGTTCCGATCTGTCTCTGCTTCTCCACCAATGTCATCTCCAGTGCCCCTACCATCACCATCCCCATGCCACCTCGCTTCCCGATTCATCACCGGAACCTCTCCCTGTTGTGCCATCAACTCCCCTCTCCCCTCCCCTCGCCCATCCCCTCGCCCGTCCCCATGCCCCTCTTCCATCTCACCCTCAACAAGCCCTTGCGCTGCCCCCTCCTCGCCTCCTTCTTGACATGCCTGAGCGTCCACGTCTGCATGGATCGTGCCGCTAACTTCCCTAAGAGCCTGAAGCCCACCCCGCCCTGCATCCTGCTGCCCTACCTGCCCCCCCCTGTTGCCCTTGTCCTCCCACCCTTGCGCCTCGTCCCTGTGACCAGCTTCGTGTCCCTGCTGCTCTCTGCGCGCTGCTTCCTGTACCTGCTCGTCTCTTTGCCCTCCCCCTTCTGCGACCTCCCTGGGACCCGCTCCTTGCACTACCTCCTCTCTGCGCCCTGTTATCTGTGCCTCGTCCCCATGCATTCCTCCCCTGCCATCTGCCACACCACCACGCCGCACGTCCTCACCACCCTGCGCACGACCACTCTGCTGGTCGGTTCTGGCCCCATCAGTGGTCCCCCCCACTTCAGGCACGAGGCACGGGTCTTCAAACGCGTACTGCAGTTCCGTGTGCAGGGAGCGGGAGGTGCGGGGAGGGGATGACACGGCTCGGGACGAACCTCCGGAGGTGGACAGGCGGGCACGCTTGGCGTCAGGCTCGGGAGAACCTGCTGACAGGTTTGGATGGGCGGGAGTGGGGGGAAGTAACTGAAGCACTGGGGTTAGTCCAGCTTGCTTTGTAATATGACTCAATAATATGACTCAAAAATATTACTCAAAAATATGACTAAAAAATATGACTCAAAGGACATGAATCCCTTCTTCTTCCTGTGCATAAAGCCTTCTCAAAGTCACCAGATTTTCCTCACATTAGAGCACACCTTTTTGTCAGGCTACATGTTTCCCACCTGTCTGCTATTGACAGCTCCAGCAACACCTTTTTGTCAGTATTGTCACCTTTCCAGCAACACCTACATGTATTGTCACTTTGCGGCAACGGAAGGCAAGCAGCATGCATGTGACCACCCCCCAACCCGCCCGCCCACCTACCTACCGGATTGCTGTTGCACGGGGATGAGCCAATCAAAGGACACCGGCGTGCCGTACCACTGCCTTTGAGTCGACTCAAAAGCTGCCTGCCCGCCAGCCCACCTGCCCACCCGCCCACCTACCTACCGGATCGCTGCTGCACGGGGATGAGCCAATCAAAGAAGGACACCGGCGTGCCGTACCGCTGCCGCCTCCTCTCCCCATGCCCCTGCCCATGCTGCCCCTGCCCCTGCTGATACTGCTGCTGCTGCTGCTGCTGGTGCTGGTACTGGCAATCCATGTCTAACTGCTGGTGCTGCTGCTGGGAGTGGTGGTGGTGATCCGAGTGCTGCTGTGGCACCTGCAGGTGCAGCTGGTGGTCGCGTCGCTGCCGGCTGTACTCTGCCACTGTGGTCCACAGCTCGCCCACGCTCCACCCCTCCCTCAACAGCCACTCACACACCTGCACGTGATGTGGGAATATGGCAAAAAAATGGTTGACATCTCAAAAATGTGTCTTCTTGAGACCTCCACCTAGCCACACTCTGGCCCTCCCTCAATACTATTCAGACATTATTTCGTTCAGGTGATGATGGTGATGGTTGTGGGATCCTCACCTCCTTGAGCCGGGCGGCACGGTGGTCAGCATAGGTGAAGTAGAGCACGAAGGGACGGCCAGCCTCAGAAGCAGCCATCCACTGCAGCATGCTCTTCACCTCCAGATCGCCCCCAAACACGCCACACCCCCAGTTGCCCGTCGCTATGCCCATGCGGTTGTGCTGCGACGTCAGGCTCAGCCGACCCGGCCTCGCCACCGCTGCTGCTGCTGCTGCTGCTGCTGCTGCTGCTGCCGCCGCTGCCGCTGCTGCTCCTGCGGCTGCCACCGCTGCTGTTCCCCCAGCAGCCACCGCTGCTACTGCTGCTGCCTCTGTCGTTGGTGCTATGGTCGGTGTCGCTGCCCCTGCTGCGTCACCTGCCACCTCTGCACCTGTCCCCCGTGCAACCCCTCCCATCCCTGCCACAGCTTCCCGTCCTGCCCTTGCATGTGCTCCCCCTGCTGCAGCGGCCTCAGCGTTAGCTGCTGCTGAATGCCCTGGACTCGTTCTTTGACCTGCTACAGCTGCTGGTGTATATTCAGCAGCAGTTACAGCAGTGGCAGCAGCAATGGCAGTGGCAGCAGTAGCACCAACGGCAGCAGTAGTGGCAGCAGTAGCAGCGGTCGCAGCAGTATGAAAAGCACGGACCCTCCTTCTGTGGTCCCCACTTCCCAGGTCATCACTCCCCCCACTATCACTCCCATTCTCATCCCGACTCCTCCCCCTGCTTCCCCCGCCACTCCCCGTCTCCTCCTGCCCCCCATGCTCCCCAAGGCCTCCCCCTATCCCTCCCCCGCCGCCCGCCCCAACCACCTCCTCCTCCACTGCCCGCCTCAGCCCAGAAAGAGACAAATGCCTCCCGCTCGAATCCGTTGCCGCCCGGCTTTGGGTGTCACTTCCACTGCCTTGCCCCTTCTTACCACCCCCCTCCACACCACCATCCCCTCCTGCTTCCCCCCTTGCTGCGCCTATCCTTCCCCCTATTTCCCCCGTTCCCCCAGTTCCCCCAGTTCCCCCCGTCCCTCCCCCACTCCCCCCACCAGTTGCTCCCCCTGATCCCCACGTCCTCCCCCCTGACCCCGCGCCAGTCCCCCCTGTCCCCGTGCCTGTTCCCCCTGTCCCAGTAGCAGTGCCCTGGGGTGAGATGGAGGGGAAGCAAACCGCACCCGCAGGCACAGCAACGCCTGCTGACGTCACCAACCCACCTGCTGAGGTCATGAGGGCATCAGTGCGCACAAAGGGCAGGGAGGGGGAGGGCGTCTGTTCAGACACCCTATTGGCGCTACCCAGCTGTGGTGACTCTCCTGACGCCTTTTGAGGCGCATCAAAAGCGCGCACAAAGGGCAGGGAGGGGGAGGGCGTTTGTTCAGACGCCCTATTGGCGCTGCCCAGCTGTGGTGACTCTCCTGACGCCTGGCTTGCAGATTGACCCTGCTTGCCATGTGCGTCAGCACCCTTTTCTTCCCTTGCTTCCGCCATTTCCGTATCCTCATTAGCCTTCTCAACGTCTGCTTGCTTGTCCTCGTTATAGTCCTCCTCCATTGGGGTTGCTTCCCCCTCTACCTCCATCTCCCTCCCCTCCCCGCCCCCCACCACACGCCCACCTGCCCCTGCAGCAACCGATTCAACCCCCCCTCGTTGCTCCGCTTCCCTCTCTTCCCCCCACCCCTCCTGCACTCCCTGCAACCTCCCTGCACCCCTCTCCACCATGACAAACCCCTCCTCCTCCTCCTCCTCCTCCTCCTCCTCCTCTTCCTCCTCTTCCTCCTCTTCCTCCTCCTCCACCCTCTCACTCTCACTCGAGTCCCGCCCTCCCACTCCTCTTTCTCGCCCAAGTCGTGAGTCAGAACCAGAGCTAGTGCCAGCAGTGGCTCTGCTACTGCCCTGCATCTGTGTGCTGTTATTCCCGCTACTGTTGTTCCCACTGCTGTTGTTTCCACTGCTGTTGTTTCCGCTACTGTTGTTTGTGTTTCCACTGTTGCTCCGCTCGCTGTCCCTCCCCTCGTTATTGTCACTGGTGCTGTTAGGCCGAGCCGCCGTTACACTCGGGCGGCGAGCTTCGGCTGCATCTGCAGGGTTCCCTTCGCTATTGTCACTCCCACTGCCCCTTCCTCTCTCATCAGCTCCTGTCTGCGTTCCCCCATTTCGTTTCTCAGTGCCACTCCCCTCACCACTTCTATTTTCCCCTTCTCCACTACCCTCCTTACTTCCCTCCTTACTGCCCTCCACACTCCCCTGCCTCCCTTCCCCTCGACCTGTACCCATATTCCCCATAACCCTCCCAGATGCACCCTCCCCTTGTCCTCTTCTCGACCCTCCACTCCCCTTCCTCTCAAAGTACCTTCTTATTCCTCCTCTCCCTCCCCCGCCTCCCCCCCCTTCCCCTCTTCCTCGCCCTCCGCCACTCTTCCTCGTCACCACCCCTCCCCCATCAACAATCATCCCCTCATTCCCTCCCCCGCCTCTCCTCTCCTCCCCCTCCCGCCCCTCCCCCAAACTCCTCCCTCCCTCCTCCCCACCACTCCCCTTCCCCTCCCCCTCACTCCCACTCCCCCCTCTCTCCCCTCTCTTAAACCCTGACACAGCCCCCGCCGCCCCCCCCTCCCCACTGAGAAATTCCCGCGACAGGGACATTTGCGCAGTACCCTCCAAAAACACCGGGCTATTACTGTCATTACTCGCGAGAATCGACCCGCCAGCGAACCCCCTGGCAGAAGCATGGTCTAGGAAGCCACAGAAGGCCTTGTTGGTCTCCCTGAGAAGGTAGGAGCTGCGGAACTGGCGGTCTGCTGCGTGGGAGAGGGCATCCATGGCCACTATCCGCGTCTGGCGGCGGCCCAGGGAGTCCCGCGGGGCTGTGTCGATGAAATCCCCGGCGAACTTGAAGGTTGCTGCGTAGCTGAGAGGGCGGAGGAGGGGAGAGGGGGGGAGAGGGGGGGAGAGGTGGGAGAAGGGTTGGGAGGGAGGAGAAACAGGGAGGAGGATGACTGACTCATCTGCTGTATCTGAGGAGGCCTAGGGAATCCCGTGGGGCTGTGTCGATGAAATCCCCGGCGAATTTAAAGGTTGCTGCGTAGCTGAGGGAAGGAGAGTGCGGAGTGGAGTGATGGGGGAAGAGTAGGGGGAGGAGGGGTTGGAAAGGGAGATGGAAGGATCAAATAAGGATGTGTGGGGTTCGTGTTCGGTTGGTTACGAGGTGACTTTTGAGTCAACTCAAAAGTCACCAAATAAGGATATGTGAGATTCGTGTTCGGTTGGTAAGCAAAATGAGGTAAGGTACCTCTCAACCGACTGTATCTGCTGACTCATCATTGAATTTGCTGACTCGATCCGACTAACTGCTGACTCACCCAGTGTACTTGCTGAACCGCTCGGGTCCCACGATCTCAATCGTCTCGTTGTTCTCCATGGCGGGCAGGAAAAGCATTCCGACGATGAGCTCCGGGCAGATTACGAATCGAATCTCCTCCTGCACGCACCCCGAGCCAAGCGTCCCGCCGCCCAGAAAGGCATTGGCGAAGTCGACCTGCAGACAGCCCGTGCCGTCGTCCTCTATTGTGCCACGCTCATGCACCTGGTGGTGCATGGGGGGAGGGAGGAAAGGAATGGGAGGGAAGAAAGGGTGAAGAAGGGTTGAAGGGGAAGAGTGGTGCATCAAGCGACAGGTGTGATATGATTGGACGCACTGCAGAGCTGCCCCCTGTCTTGCCTCCCAGCAATGCATCCTGGCGCACCCAAACCTCTCTCCACCCATCTCCACCTTCCCAACACCACTCTTCCCTCTAACATCCCCCTCCTCCTCCAACACCCCTCTCCCTCCAACAACCCTCTCCCTCCCCCCAAACGCCCTTCACACTCACCACTAGGGCGCAGAGCGGAATCCGCCTTGTCCCCCAGAAGTCCGCGCCAGGGGGAGGGGGGAGCGTCCCCCAGCTCCCCCCAAAGCTCCTGCTGCCCCCCCCACTCCGCAACTGCCCCTCTCCTCCCTCCCCCTCCTTCCCCCACGACCCTGCTAGGCTCGGATCCGAGCCTGTTGTCGGACCTGAGCTTCGGTTCGAGCTGCTTTTCTGCATGGGCGAGCTTCGGGAACCACTGTGATAACCACTGCCGTAACCGTTCCCGTTACCGTTACCACCGCCGTTACCACTGCCCTTACTGCCGCCACTACCATTACCGCGCCGCCCACCCTGCCCACCACTCCCACCGCTTCCGGGCGGCGAACTGCCACCGCCTTGTCTTATGTTCCCACTTCCCCGCCCTCCACCCTCCCCTGCCTCCCCACCCCAACCATACACATCCTGTTGCTGCTGCTGCTGCTGCTGCTGCTGCTGCTGCTGCTGCTGCTGCTGCTGCTGCTTTAGGTGGCCGGGTGTGTCAGAACCAGGGGCGTTAAACGGGTGGAGGGCTGACGGGACGGCCGCAGCGGGTGTGACAGTGGCGGGTGTGACAGCAGTGAGCGGCAGCACCTTGCGCTCATAGGAGACGGCGCCCTGAGGCATGGAGGAGACGACGCGGCGGAAGTAATGCAGCAGACAGCGCAGCTTCTCTTGTTGCTGCGGCGAGCCCTCGTATATGCCCCTGGAAGTGGCATGTGGGGGAGGAAGAGAATGGGGAGGGGAGAGATGGGAGTAAGAAGCGATCAATGCTCTGAGGCATGGAGGAGACGACACGGCGGAAGTAGTGCAGCAGACAGCGCAGCTTCTCCTGCTGCTGCGGCGACCCCTCGTATATGCCCCTGGGTGAGCGCGACAGATGAGGGGTTGGGGATGGGTAGAGTGGAGAGTAAGAGCGGTGACAAGGGCGAGAGGGGCGGACGCGCGTCATGAAAGGGGTGAGGGGCATGAGGGACGAGACGACACGGACGAAAGGGGACACGCAGGCGAGGGCAGACGCAGTAATCTTCTTGTTGAGAACACGACACCAAGGCACGCTGCATGCCCCATCCAGACTCACCCAGTACACCACCATATCCACAGCCCCTCATTCCCCATTCCCCGCCCGCTCCACCTCCTCCTCAGCGACTCACCCATAGAGGCGGTCGAAGTTGATCTCTGGCAGTCTCTCCTGCGCGCGTCCGGCCGTCGGATACACGCAGAAGAACGCGCCCACCAATAGCGCCGCTGCAAGCTCCTGCGTTATAAGCACAAGCCCCGGCTGCTGCGGCCGCAGCAGCTGCAGCGTCATCTGCGTCCCCCGCCGCCACTTCTCGCTCCCCCCGCTCCCGCTTCCGCTCCCGCTTCCCCCGCTCCCGCTCCCCCCGCTGCTGCCGGACTGCGCTGCGGCTTGGGCTGCCCGAGCCACGCTCCGAGCCTGCTGGGAGACGAGGCTCGGGAGTCGGAGAGCGAGCGAGGCCATTCCGGGCAGCGTGAAGAAAAAGAACTCCTGAGATTCCTCCTCGGAGAGAATCTGCCGGTACGTTTGGGGCGAGAAGGAGGAAGGTCCGAAGGGGACAGGGAGGAGGGCGATGAGAGCAACGTTCGAGCAGCGAGGGGTGACAACTCCATGCTTGACGCAACGCTAGCGAATGCGCGTTTCCATCATTCCTGATTCGTTATAACAACATTCGCGAATCAAATAAGTTTGGTGAAAACCCACCTCGTCGAAGAATTCAGCGAGGCCTTTCGCGAGCCGCGGGTTACCATCGCTGAGACTCAGCTCCCTGCGAATGTCGATTATCGCGTCCGCTAAAGTTTCACCACTCGCCACCTGTCACGCCGACAGGAAACATCAGAGATGTGAAACACTAGCGTGAGGGCAAGCGTGAAACAACGCAGGAAGCCTCTGAATCCTAAATCCTGAAAAAAAACTTCGTGAAGCAAAAGTGAAGCGGATTCTGATTCCGACAAGCGCACCTGGCTAGCGGCAGGACCGCGCGCAATGGCGGCGAACGCGTGAGCTACGGTGCCGGGCCATGCGTACTCTCGCCGCGTGCTGCTCACGCTCGCGCTGTTGTTGTTATTGTTGTTGTTCGTCTGGTTGTTGTTATCCTTCGCCGGCTGGTTACTACTGTCAATTACCCCCGTCGCGTACAGCCGCGACGCTGCTGTGTTCGCCGCGTCGGTGTTAAACCCTGCCGGGCCGGCACCGCTGAAGCCGTAGCTCGTGCCGGCGCCGGCAACACCGCCGGCAGCTACGCCGGTTGTAACGCCGGCTTCGCGGCTCCCGCCGAGTCCCGCGTCGGACGGTAGGGTGCTCAGGCTTGGCGCGGGGCCGAAGGGGAGGAAATACGAGAGGTCTCTCTTTTCGGGAAACATGGCGGAATGCGTAGCTATTGAAGGGAAGGCTTTATACTTGACAGATTTGAGAAGCTGGTTATGGCGAGCTTCATCGAGAAAACCGATGGAGGCTACGACCGGAAGACAGTTTATGGGTTGCGATAAGGGAGCTGTAATTATGTAACCCAACGACGGAATCGCTTTGGACGTTCTTGATAAACTGGAGAGCGATTAGTGTCGGAAGAAAGACGATATGCAGAACTGATCGACTACACTATGATCAGCCTAAATCAAGAAGACTGTTCGTCAAGGCAGGCAATCCACACTTGCCTTTCGCATCGATCAATCGACAACAAGCTTTCTTGCAAACACTAGGAGCCAAGCTAATGTGAGTCAATAAAAGACACTTTCATCTGGGTTTGTCCACAGACCATGTAGGAAACCCTCATTGGAACCTCGGAAACACCGATATTGTGCTGCAGGGAGCAGACTGTTTGATGTGGGCTCTTGGGACTGTCTTGAAGATCAGAAAGAAATGAGATCCCAGAAGGGAAGGTAAGGTGTGAGGGAAGGGAGGAGGAAAGAAAGCGATGAGGAGGGAAGGAGGTGGTAAAGAAAGTGGATGTGCGGATTGGTGGTTATCGTTCATAAAGAAATCTCAACTGCTGTGCACCAATCGCGGACAATGCGGGCGGATAGAAAAAGGAGATCCAGGTCACGTGAAAGTATCGGACGAGAGATCTACGCCGGCTTTTGTGAGTCGAAAAGTGAAAAAGTGCAATGAAAAGCGCATCTTCGCTGGTCTCAACAATGAGATATTTGCGACGTGTGCCACGTCATCTAACTTCCATTTTCCGCGTCTTGCAGCAAACAGCGAGGCGCAGCTGGGCATCTGAAAGATTTATCCTCATGTACTCGAGATGAAGTTCTTCTTTATAATGACACACGTCGATGGTGTCGTTGCATCCATGTTCCATCCTCTTTTTCTCTCTATATCAGATGTGCAATGCCAGGTGTAGTATACCTACTGTGAAGTACTTCTGTCAATTATGCCTACATCATCGCGGATGTCAGGTTCGTTTGTGTCACCCCCTGGTGGTCGGTCGGTGATGAACGCTCATCTGGAAATTCACAGTGATTGGTCGAAGCGATGCGCGCAAGGTAGTCTAGGGGTTTGCATTTGCAAGTCTGGGGTGAACTGGACAGAGGTCGGTCGCGGAAACGGGGATTGCCGTGACTGCGCATGGCACCACTCTGCGCCTCTCCTTTTCTAAAGAAGTGGGACAAAACACCACACCAGCCCTTAGCGGGAAGAGTGTCGCAGAGATGCTGCGCGGAAGTCCCATGTCGCTCGGTGGAGGTGGCAAACAGAAGGCCTCTAGGATCAGCTCTTTTCCGCCGTCGTTCAGCTCACGCACTCAGTGGGATGAGCGGAAAGGATTTGCCGGAGTGTGGGGAAATTGTGTGTGCTCAATGCCCACTCTTCCCTTCGCAAAAGGTGTATTCTCGGCCATCTCGAGGACGAAGGATCAGAACAACGCCCTAGCCCTAGGTAAAAACGTAAGCTACCAGGTAGCTTGAGCTTTGTGTTGACAGGGCGATAGGCTCGGTTGCTAACTTCAGTTCCTTCGTCTCTCTTGACCGATAGTTACCAAAATCACTTCCTATACTCGCCGCTCCCCCTACTTCTAGGACAGCCCTAAAGAGCCGCTTACCGACCGCTTCATCCTCGTATAACTCATCGCCCAGACTATTTCGCAATGAGTCGCATAGTAGGTCGCGGAGGCTCAGATCCCTACTCGAGCGACGTCGAGATGCCGTCGTCTACGAGCCTCCGCTCCTCCTCCTCTCTCTCCTCCACCCCCTCCGCTCCCCTCGCTCACTCCCGCTCCGGCGAATACCCCTACGCTCCTCCCCATCCCGCCATCGTGTCGTCTCATAACGAGTACAATGACGACAGCCACTCCGCGTATCATCAAGGGGGTCAGTTCCACTCGTACGCCTCCGGTAGTACGATCGTGCCGTACGCGTACCCGCCTCCTCCTCCTCCTGAATACCCCTCCGGTGTCAACCCAGCGGCGTACCCCCCTGTTGTTCCACCTGCAAACCCGCGAGATCCTTCGCGGAAACCGCGGTGGTATAGGAAGGTGCCATGGCTTGCGCTGACCGTATTAATCGCCTGCATAGTCGTCTTTATTGTGACCATGGCGGTGAATAACTGCCCGTCGAAGCCGCACCCGCAAGGCCAGAGCTGCGTGCTGCCTTGGCTGGGTCGCTTCGCCTTCGAGCCGCTTAATATCAACCCTCTCTTCGGACCAACCGCCTTAACGTAAGCGGACATCCTTTATCCTTACCCCTTCTCGGTGTATGTTGAGTTCTACGCGTCTATCGCGTATTCCATCTTTATGTGGGACTCTCCGTCGCCGTCGCAACCCTCCAGGCTTCACGACATGGGCGCGCTCAAGAATAGCCTGGTTACCAACGACTTTTCGCCTAGAACATGTCGTCTTATTATCCACATACGTCGGTGTGTATGACCTCCACCACCCCCGCCCCCCACGAACCCCCCCTCTCCCTCCTCTCTCCTCCCCCCCCCCACTCCCCTCCCTCCCCCCACGTTCTCCCTTCGTTTCTCGCAACCCTCCAGGCTTCAGGAGATGGGCGCACTGAACAGTAACCTGGTTACCAATTACCACCAGGGCTGGCGGCTGGTAACTGCGATGTGGTTACACGGCGGCGTGGTGCATCTCGTGTGTAACCTCCTGGGCATCGCCTTCCTTCTCAACCGCCTCGAAAAGGAGTTCGGGCTGTGTACGTGCATGGTGCGGTGGTGTTTACGTGTGCGGTGTGTGGTGTGGCGTGATGCGGTAAGGAGACGGGGGGCGCGGGGATGAGGGGAAGGGGATGGGATGAAACTGTTTGGGGGGAGCTAGGGAATTCTGGGGAGTTGTGAGGAAAGTGGGCGGCGAACCATGCGGTATGGCGCATCTCCCATCTCGTGTGTAACGTCCTCAGCATCGCCTTCCTGCCCAACCGCCTCGAGAAGGAGTTCGGCCTGTGTACGTGCGTGGTGCGGTGTGGTGCGGCGTGATGTGGCGTGTTGTGGTATGGCGTGAGGCGGATGGGTGGCGGAAAGGTGATGGAATGATGTTGTGTGGTGGAGATAGGAGATTGGGGAGGGGGGGGGGTGGGAGGGGAGGGGAAGGAAAAGGGGAGGAAGGGGGGATGGGCGGGAGGTTGAGGGATGAGGGTCACCAGGTGAGGAGGGAATTCAAGGGGCTATTTTTGTGGGGAAGGCTTGGTATGCATGTAGATGCGGGAAGGGGAGGAGGGATGGACTAAGGTACTTGAAGCACATGTGATCCTTAATAGACCCTGCAGCCCACTCTTTGCCCCTTTGCATGTGCGCCGTGCTCCCTCTGCGGTCCCCCCGTGCTCTCTCCTGTGCTTTTCCTTGACAGGGCGTCCGACGGCCATCTACCTTCTCAGTGGCGTCTTTGCTGCTGTCTTCTCCTGCCTCTTCCTCGACACACAGGTACGCCCACGCCCAGCTAGTGCTGTAACATGTCGGAAACATATGTTGGAAACAGATGTTCTCGTATTCTGAGAGGGTCTACTGAAACACTGCAGTCCAGTGACTGTGCTATGCGCCCCTCTCCTCCCTGCGGCACTCGTCATTTTGTCGTTTTGCTCCTGCAAGTGATGCCTGCGAGTGTTTCATGTCGTATTCAGAGAAAGTGGTTGTGGATCATACACCCTGATTACGTTTTCCTTGTTCCCCCCTTTCTCCCTCTCTCCCCGCCTCCTACCCAACTACCCAACAACAACCCCTTCTTAAATGCCCCGATTTTACCCAAAATCGCCATTGATTACCCGCCATCAGATCAGCGTGGGTGCATCTGGAGCGTTGTTTGGGCTGGTGGGTGCGTGCCTGTCGGAACTGCTGATCAACTGGAAGCTCTACGAGAACAGGGTATGTATGGCCATGGCTTGGGATGCTTGCTTGCATGCATGGGTTGATGAGAGGGTGGGGTCAGTTCCCTCTTTCCAGCTCCCCCTTTCCAGCTCCCTCTTTCCAGCTCCCCCTTTCCCAGACCCCTCCAGCTCCTTTTTACTACACACTCTCACTTTAAACCCCCGTTTCTCTGCTCCCATCCACCCCTCTCTTCTGCCCCGGTGGTCCCTTCCCCTTCTCCCCCCTGCAGTGTTCAGCGCTGATGACGCTCATCATCCTCATAGTCATCAACCTCGCCATCGGTCTCATGCCCTACATCGACAACTTCGCCCACATAGGCGGCTGCATCGCCGGCTTCTTCCTCGGCTTTGCTCTCCTGCTCAAGCCCCAGCACGGCTTCATCGACCTCCGAGATAGCTCCGGCGTGGCTGCGGCAACGGCGATTGCGGTGTCCGGAGGGGACCCAGTGACTAAGAAGCATACTGTGTGCCAGGTCTACACGAGGATTCTCTCGGGGATATTCTTCATTGCCCTGTAAGTTAGCGCATTTTAAGGTTCACCACTTCACCTGCTATGTTTACACTCGGCTTTGCTCTCCTGCTCAAGCCCCAACTCGGCTTCATCGATCTCCGAGACAGCTCCGGAGTGGCGACGGCGACAGCGATTGCTGTGTCCGGGGGTGATCCCTTGACCAAGAAGCACTCCACATGCCAGGTCTACACGCGGATTTTGTCAGGAATAATCTTCATGGCCCTGTAAGTGCAGTGCACTGAATGCCAGGTCTGCCAGGTCTTCACTGCCTTCCCACGCCCTAGTTTGATTCGTCTGTGCTTTCCCAGTGTCTACTACTCCACCAGCCAGGTCTATACATGGGTTCTCCCTCTCAGGGTTCGCCTCTCCTCCCCTCCCTCACCAGCTTGTAACTCTGCATGGCGGTGCTATTCACTGAGGGCAACGTGGCTTCAGACTCAACCATGCTTCTCCTGCTGCTTCACCTGATCCCCCACTTAACATCCATGCTCTTCTTCTCCCTCCCTTCCCCCTCTAACAGCTTCTCGCTCTGCATGGCGGTGCTCTTCACCAA